TGTGATAGTATGGCATTCTGAGTGAAATTACCTGGGACAGAAGTAAAGATGGGAAAAGAAGAAAGAAGAGTCTGTATTTATGGAAAAATGGACAGTTCAAAATTACAAGCTTAAAAGAGAACATCATACCCCCTTCATTTCAGAGCAGGGCTTGGAGCCAGAGTCCCCGAACAGGAAGCCACAGGCCACCACTTCACTGTCAATGCCATGAAAGTGTGGGGGGAGGGGTGGAATGCTCCAGGCTCAATCTCTAGACTTAGGGCTGCAATTTCAGTTCTACTCCCAAGGTTGTGTGACTTTGGTCAAGTGGCTTCCACAGTCTAAGTATTGGTATCCTCTTCTACAAAATTGGGTGACTGGGTGGGTTGATGACTTCTAAATGTTCTTCCAGTCCCCATCCTATAATTCTAAATCATAGGAAGTCCTGCTATACAATTTAATAGCTTTTCCTATTAGGGACTTCACTTCTGGGCTTTTGACATTTGTTTCTTGGCTGTATTTTCTTTTCTTTTTTTAAAAATTTTATTTTAATCATTGTTCAAGTACAGTTTCTCCCTTTTACTCCCATTCCAGCCCACCCACCCATCTTGGCTGTATTTTCAACGTTTAACTTCACAAGGTAGAAGCTAGAGGAAGAATGGTAGGAACTGGTGAGAATTCAACTATCATTGTGTCTGGGTCACTGAGCAGGAAGCTCTGCAAGTTGCTCTAGCAACTTTTTCATAAACTGGTCAATTGGAGACAACTTGTCTTTTTTCTAAATTTCTCTTTTCTAAGAACTCCTCTGTCTTTTCTTGCAACCATCCACCTTCCCCCTAAACTCTTTTGCTGTTGCCTGGCCTATACTCATATATCAATTGATGTGAGTGAATAATAAAAATAATGATTATTTCAACACATAATTGAGCACCTACTATATACGAGATAAGCAGTTTTCAAACTTTGTGATCTCAGGACCCTTCTACATGCTTAAAAACTATTGAGGGCCTGCAAAAGCTCTTGTTTATATGGATTATGTCTATAGATATTTACTAAATTAAAAAGTAAAACTGAGAAAATTTTAAGCTATTAATTGATTTTAAAATAGCACAATAAACCCATTACATGCTTACAACATTAAAAAAGTAAAAAAAAATAGCTATATATTCAAAGCAAAAATTAGTGAGAGGAGTGACATTGTTTTACAATTTTGAAATCTCTATTGTCAGGCTTAATATAAGACAGCGGGATTCTCATGCTTGGTTCTGCATTTAATCTTCTGCTTTAAGGTTTGTATTAGTTTCCTGGGGCTGCTGTGAGAAATCACCAGAAAGTTGGTGGCTCAAAACAGAAATGTATTCTTCATAGTTCTGGAGGCCAAGACATCAGTTTCACCCAGCAGAAATCAAGGTGTGAGCAGGGAAGTGCTCCCTCTGGAGGCTTGAGAGGAAAACTCATTTCTTGCCTCTTCAGCTTCTGGCGGCTGCTGACATTTCTTAATTTGTGGCTGTGTGGTTCCAATCTCTGCCTCTATCTTCACCTCAACTTTTCTTTTGCCTGTGGTACCTAATCTCCTTCTGCTTCTCTCTCTCTCTTTTTGATTTTTGATTTTTATTGAATTTATTGGGCTGACATTGGTTAATAAAATTACATAGGTTTCAGGTGCACAATTCTGTAATACATCACCTGTACATTGGATGACGTGTTCACCACCCTAAGTCTGCTTCTCTCTGATAAGAACTTTGTTGTGATGGCACTGAGGGACCATTTGAATAGTCCGGGATTATCTCTTTATCTCAAAATCCCTAATCACATCTGTACAAGTCTTACTTTGTGAGTTAACATCCGCAAATAAAGCCGTGGGCTGTGGCTTTATCTTTGGGAGCCATTATCAGCCTAACACAGGGTTGTTATTTTGTGTGAAGTTAATGAAGAAAACCTGGTCTCATATAGCTACTGCAGTTCAGGACAAAAGTCTTCTAATAGCCTTTTCAAATAATTGTGAATATTCTTCTTTGATATTACACCATAACTTGACAATAAGTCATTTGTTAAAGATTTGTTGCAATGTGGAATTTGAAAACATCGGTGAACTTTTGGTGCTGGATTATATTAAAATAATTGGTCTATAATATACTTTCAATGGATATTCCATCCATGCATAATTTTATAACATCATACATTCATCATTTGGAAAATATTGATTCATTGAGTTATACAGATCTTCCCAATGTTAACACATTTAATTACACATTATAAAACAGTAACATTCATTAATATCACCATCAATCTTATCAGAACAGCTCTTGCACATTGGAAAATTATCAAATTCCTGGTGGTAGATACACATTCTCTAAAATTCTAATTTTCATGTGAAAGCTTGAATTTTATCAGTGGCAACAAATGCCGTCATTTCTTTTTCTTGAAGTGCAGGCTGGCTGTCCATTTTCAAGAAAACACTGCTAGTTAACCACTATTTCAACTGAAAATTATGGTGCAGGAAGAAAAGTGGCGGGTCCAGCTTTCGAGTCAAACAACTGCACAAGTATTTTCCTTGAAAAGCCTTTGTTGTGCGTCAAACTGCTCTATGTGTTTTTTCCACTGTGTCACACACAGTTTTAAAAGAAATGTATTCAAGGATGGAGATTTAATAAAATTAAGGATTCTTACCATTTCATTAAAGATACTCTTCGGTAAAACTGGATTTTTTTTTAAATGCGAGTGTGTGGTGGCAAAGAGCACAGTTTGGAGCCCCTGCCTTGGTTTGTGTCAAGGTGCCAAAGGTTTTCATACCATTAGTGCAAATAGAGTAGTTGTTCCAGAATAAATGATGAGATTAAAAAAATTGTTCAATGCTTTATTTCTGCACCCCTGTGTTTATGGCGAAGCATTTACATGAAAGATCTTCTTCAAGTAGTAGTTGGTGCTGACACTGGATAGATACAAGCAAAGAGTAAATCTAGCCAACTCTATAATTATATAATTCTTGTCCGTCTGGAAGGCAGTATACTTCTGCAGATGAGATGGTAACTCAGTCTTTGTGTTTGAAACTAATGATCTAAGGTGGCGAGCGACGGCATCCTTGGACAGCAGCACTGCCGTGATCTCTTTGCCTGACTTTCCCACGTGCGGGCATTCACTGAGTCAGGCGCAAGGGTCAGTAGTGTCTCAGCTGTTGTATGCCCTTCTCCAGCCAGTGCCATACACTAATTTAACCTGTAAGATGCTCCAGCGGGTTTTTCATTTCTAGTTTGAAAAGTAGTAGCAAGAAAGCTTTGGATTTTCAAGATCTTACTTAAAGATCTCACATCTAAAATTTTAAATTGCCTTTCCTTTAAACTGAGGTCTCGAAATGATGCTTCTACTTAACTGGCACCAAAATAGTATTTGAAAATGTTCTGTTGAATAAGACAAGTTAAAGTGAATTATTAGCACCTCTAAAGCCAAGGGAAAGAAAGATGCTTTGATTATGCTTTCCTTACTTATTTGAGGTTTCAGGCAGATTCTTCCCTTTACCCTGGGAGAATCCTTCTAATGCGGATATCAATCAGTATCATCTTTTTCAGCATCTTTAGATGTGGGAGGGCTGAGAAAGCAAGTCTTCCAACCTCCCCTTTGTAAGGCAATGAACGATCCTAAAATTTTTTAAAAATTGTAAACAAAATTTCATTTTAGAATAAAATATTAATGTCTAAAAGAATAAGTTTTAAATAAAGTTTAAATATTTAGAGAAGTTTTCAATAAATTTAAAAATATTCTCGCAAAGCAAATCAACAAAACGTACCTTTTTCTTGTGTTTCTGCCTAGGTGCAAGGACGACCATTTGTTGGAAGATTAATGAGGTTACAGAGATCAGGTATGAGTGAAGACAGCTCATAAGAACACGCTAGAAGTACAGAACACAAGTGAGTTAATCTCCGAAAATGCGCACATGTACTTTCTAAACCTTAGAAAACACAACAGTACTCAAGCACACATTCCACCCGCCAATAGAGCGACTGTACGTTATTTATTCTCTTGCAAACTTCTCTGGACACTTTCCAAGAGGATGAGAGTAAGGTCAACAAGCAGCTCTTAAGTGACACGAGCACAGTTCTGACTTCGTGGGTCCAGGGAAGGCTCTCAGGCACGCTCGGAAGTCACCGGACCACACTTTGAGAACCACTGTACTGGTTTCTGTTCTGGTAGAAACGGGTAGCAGCAGCGGCTTTCCTCTCCATAGGAAGGTAAAGATTTATGGGGTGGCGCCGTGACCAGCTCTGCAACGGGAAAGAACGGCGCCGGGAGAGGGTGGGACAGGGACACCCATCCTCCCGCATCTGCAGGGCCACGAGGTCTGCTCCTGGGGGCGACCTTTGCACTGCCCCCCTCAGAGTAGGAGTGGGCGGCGGACAGGGCCTGGCCCACCACTTCCCATCCTGGCTGTTTCCCAAATCCCAGAACAGGGTGGATGAGAAGCGACAGCAGCCGCGAGTCGCCCCTATGCAGCGAGCTTTGAACCCAGAGGATGGACCCGCAGGACAGCCGAGGTCACTCAACACCAGGTCCCTAGCACCGGTGGACCTGGGCAGCACCGGCGCCGGGGCCACATCGCTCTGGTCCTTCGAGGTGTGGAGGATGGAGGGGAGGTGGCAGATTGCTTGTGGTCCCTCAGGCAGTGAGCGGTGGCCGAATGGGGGCCAGCAATCGGCACTTTTCGGCGGGGTCTCGGGCAGCGTGGAGGCGGCTAAATGTAAAGGAAACCTTGGAGAACGAAGTGTAAGTAGGACGGGTCCGAGTGGCTACAGGAGGACTGACTCAGAGCTACACCAGACCCAGGATACCACTGAAACCGGTCCTGTCCAGTCTGTCCTCCTATTCCTTCTCAGGTGGGACTCCCGGGCTAGCTGTTCGAGTAGCCTCTCCCACCACACGGACTCTCGCGCCCTCTTGCGGCCTCTGTCAAGAACTACACTGTGCTTGTCCACGCCCGACGCCAATAAAGATTTTTTCTTCAAACAAACAGGAAGTACATACGGAAGCCGGGCAGGCGGCAGGGCAGCGGCCGGGCATGAAGCCGGGCGGCGGCCAAAGCGTGGGTGCTGGTGGCGGCGATGAGCGACATAGTGGAGAAGACGCTGACGGCGCTGCCCGGACTCTTCCTGCAGAACCAGGGGGGTGGCGGGCCTGCGGCCGCCAGGGCATCCTTCTCCTCGCGCCTGGGTGGCCTCATCCGCGGCATCACCGCGCTCACGTCCAAGCACGTAAGTGCCTGCCAGGCGGGAGGTCTGGGATGCCCAGGGAGGCCCCTAGGCTGTGAGGCCCTGGTCCCGCAGCGAGCCTACAGGGCTGGCCCTACGGCGGTGGAGCTCGGGGACTGCGTGTGTGTTAGTCCATCTTTGCGTCTGTCTGGAAGCGTCACTTTCCTGCCCTGACAACTTGGGAGGCCAGGTTTCCACAGTTGGCCCTGACCCTGACCCTCATGATCTGCGGGCAGATCTCTTTAACTTTTGAACTTCCATTATTTCCTGAGCGTTGGAGTGGGAAAGTACCAATGCAAAGTTCATAGGTGGTTTTGAAGATTAGATGAGACCTCAAGCATGTGACAATACAAGCTCGATAGAAGTGTCAGCATTCACCTTCTACAAAGTTTCTCCGTACTCAGGTTCTTCTCCCTGAGTTCTTTCAACTGCTGAATGTCACACACGGGACCAGACCCTGCCCTTTGTACCTGTTGTTGAATATCTTCTGGAAGATGGAGTTTTTAGTTAGACCAGTGGGTAGGGCAAAGAAAAAACCATAATTCCTCCAAAATGTAAAATTTGCAGAATAAGTCATTGCCTCAGATGGGCTTTCAAAATGAGCAGTTGTTTCACGAGTTATGAAGTTCCCACACACTTTTGGTAGCTGCACAAGTTGCGTAAGATCCTGATTCAAAACTTCAAGGAACTGGTATCTTTGAAAGAGTCATGTCATAATTCAGAAGATATATATATAGGAGAGATTATGTGTTAGACACTAAGGAAACAAAAACATATTTTCTTTTCCCAAGGAATTGGTCATTCATCTTGGGCTTGAGACAGATATAAGCAATATGCAATCTAATAAGTGCCAGGAGAGGAGAAAAGACACAGAGAGAAGGTGCTCTAAGTGTTTAAAATGTTTTTTCAAAACAGGTAAGATGATGCTGTACTGGGGAGGGTCTGCTTCACTTTCAAAATTTATTATTTGTGAACTTAATATTGTTTGTCTTAATGTTTTGTCCTTTGCTAATTTTTATGAGATGATGAATGAAATTTAAAAAAAAAGTTTTGGTTCCAAATTGCAGTTTGAAACTGTATATAAGGTATCTATATGTGGCATTACTTTACCAGTAGTTCTGGATTAGCCTCCTACTGGACATCTGCTAATTCCATGTGTATGGTTTAACAATAGCGTTTTATTAGCCAAACATGAGGCTGATTTTCAAGTGCTTTTAAGGAGATAAAATACAATGCAGAGAGTAGAAGTGACCACCTTGGTGTATTTATTGTGCGTTAGACAGATGAGAGGTGAGGGAATGGATGTAAGGAATAAGGAGAAAAGGATAGGGAAGAAGAATATAGTGTAAGGGAGACACCAACTTCTGTTTCTGCCTTCTTACCCTATTTTACTATTCCATGAAGACTTTTTAATTTTAAGGGAAATGTGTGAGAACCTTACTGTGGGCCAGTATATGAGTATTTTCTTTTCTTTTTCCTCACCATTAATTTTTTAAAAAACATTTCCTACTGAAATGTCATTAAGGAGACAGTAACTGAGTGAAGAAAAGAAGAAGGTGAGTTAGACTGGAAACATTTATTCATTACAGGAATGATTCTGAGGATTGGAGAGATGCCTTTGGGCAGATTTTAGCAGATAATTTTTATAACTCTCCTTTAAAATAATGTTTCTTTTATTAAAATATTATAAATATTTTCCTTTTAAAAATATTGTTTTAAGAGAGTTTATTCATGCATTTAAATACTCTCACTTTTTCAGGAGGAAGAGAAATTAATCCAGCAAGAGCTGAGTAATCTGAAGGCGACCGTCTCTGCTCCCACAACTACACTGGTAAGTGTGCACAGTCAGTGCCAGCACGCTCGGGATTTCAGATCTGGTCCACTTGACTCCATAGTGACACCTAATTGGCCTCTCGCTAAAATCCAGTTTATCGTGTTCACAGTCAGTTATGGATGGCAGCAAGTCAGACATTAACTTGAGCCTTTTGTTGTTGACTGGTTGCACCGAGCAAGACTTGCTTGGCTGATGTCAACTTCGTGCCAACGTGATGATAATTACATAAATGTGGCAATGCTCCTGGGACCCCTAGTGCTGAGCTTACTGTCTTAGTGTTGTACACTGGGGAAAAGTGAGTATATATCATTCAAAATAATGTTTTCAGTCCTGGCCGGGTGGTTCAGTTAATCAGAGCATCATCCCATACACCAAAATGTTGAGGGTTGGAGCCCCACTCTCTCCGTATGGGGAGGCAGCCCATCTGTATTTCTCACTGACATCAATCTTTTTCTCTCCCCACCTTCCTCTCTCTCATAAATAAACATATCTTTAGGTGAGGATTTAAGAAAAAATGTTTTCAGACCCGAGTTGACATATTGTAGATCTCATTTTACTGTTATACATCTTGGAGAATGGGTTGACTAAGTAAAAAAAAAAAAAAAAAAAAAAGATTTCTTGCTGTAAAACCAAGTATATTGACCAGCAGCTAATCAGAATCCAGTTTTTAAAATTGGTTTCATAGAATTAGATTTTTCTGAACAACATTTCATTTCATCAACTTTTTAATGAGTGGCTGTGATATACAGATCATTTGTAGGACTGTTCCTATATGGTTAGATTAAGACCTAGGTTTTTTTTTCTTTCCTAACTTTAATGTGGTTTCACATAATGAAATTTTTCCAAGCAATATTTATTCAGCAGAGATTTAGTAAGTGCCTTCTGTAAGTCATTGTGAGAATGTTCTCCCTTCTCGTCTAATAAAAATACTGGGTGATCACTTTGCATGAGTACGTGCATGTACATGAACAACACTTGTACAGTCTGAGGGAATCTGTATATTTCCTCTCATGATCACGATGTTATGTGGTAGATGAAACTCAAAGCATAACTGATCTGATAGATCTATGTGTATGTATGTGTGTGTGTGTGTGTGTGTGTGTATAAAATTATTGTGCTTCATGGTACTTGATAGAAATGTTAAGCAGCCCTGGCCAATGTGGCTCAGTCGCTTGGAGCATTGTCCCATACACCGAAAGGTAGTGAGTTTCATTCCCAGTCCGGGCATATGCCTGGGTTTCAGGTTTGTTCCTGGTCAGGGAGCCTGTGAGAGGCAACCAGTTGATGTTTCTCTCTCTCTTCCCCCTTCCTCTCACTTCTAAATGAAGAAATGTCCTTGGGTAAGGGTAAAAAAATTAAGTTAACTTCAGCTATTTAAAAAAACAACATTAAGCAGAAATAGTTTACCTCTTTTTACTGTATTAAATTTCTGTTTTCTGTAATTGGCATCAATAAATATAATTTCTCTTATGGCCAGGCATAAACCTGGTGAGAACAGAACTGAGACAATTAGAAGTTAGGAAGGAAGATTTTATAGTTGTGGCCGTCCAACTCTGGACGTGCTTTACAGAGTAGTCTGTCCCTGTGGTGGTCACGAAGAGGTTGGATGAGTTTGTTGGAGAATTGTAAAGAGAATTCCTGCAATGGGGAATGTACTAAAAAAATAAGAGAATAGTAATGTATGTAATATAATTTTAAGTCCATAATGACTTTTGAAAAACTCTGAGATGTTAAAAAATCAGGGTTGATACTTAATGGTTTAAATGAACAATTTCACTCCTAGTGAAAAAGAGTGAAAAGAGAAGCCTTTTGAAGGAGGACTTCCAAGACCTTATTGTATCAACTTGCTTTCTCAGTACTTAGTAGTCTTGTCATGCTAATGAATTAACTTGTATTACTTTAAACACAAGTGACCTGAATTAAATCTTATTCCCCTAATATTTTTCTATGGCTTCTTTTTAAATGTGTGTGTGTGTGTGTGTGTGTGTGTGTGTGTACACACACACACACACACACACACATATATTTCCCCCCCCCATTCCAGGATTAAATGATTCTCCTGTTAAATGATTACAATGTAATAAAAAAAATTAGAACATTCCATGTATTTATACAGTTACTGGATATTTTGCTTTTCAGAAAATGATGAAGGAATGTATGGTGAGACTTATATATTGTGAAATGCTTGGATATGATGCTTCCTTTGGCTACATACATGCAATCAAGTTGGCACAACAAGGAAACCTTTTAGAGAAAAGAGTAGGTATGTACGTATTTAAAAATTAATATTGTCCTTAAAGTTCTAGCTACTATATAAAATGAATTATGGTGAGTATATAGTATGTTTTTTAGAACATTACCTTGTAGTTTCCAAAGCTTTAGAAAGGTAATAGTACTTTAAAAACTCAAAGATTATAAAAAAAGTCAGTTTTCCTGATTCATAGAGAAGGTTAAAGTTATAGAGAAGATTATAAATTGCCTGCCCTTGTGATGGTGGTTTGATGACTATATGTATTTGTCCAAATTCATTAAACTATACACCTAAAAATGGGTGAGCCCCACCTGGTGTGGCTTAGTTAAATGAGCATTGTGTTGACAAGTGGGGGATTGCTGGGTTGATTCCCAGTGTTGGAGTGTGCCTGGGCTATGGGTTCAGTTCCAGTTGGGCATGAGCAGTGTTTCTCTCTCACATTGATGTTCCTCTCCCTCTCTTTTTACCTCCCTTGCCCTCTCTCTAAAAATGAATAATAAAATCTTAAAAAAAAGAAAAATGGGCGAATTTTCTTGTGTGCAAATTGTATATACCTCAGTAAAGCTAATTTAAAAATGTCTGACCTCATCAATTTAATGATCAGAAAATGTTTATAGAATAAAACTGAAATTGATTTGAATAGTTTTAATACTCACTTGAGCATATGTTTATTGATTTTTAGAGAGACAGGAAGGGAGAGAGACAGAGATAGAGAAACGTGGTAGGTTGCTTCCCCTACGCACCCAGACTGGGGATCGAACCTGCAACCTTCTGGTGTATGTGACAACTCTCCATCCAGCTGAGCCACCTGGCTGGGGCTTGACTTGAGTAATTTTAAATATCCTGAACATAGTTTCACAAATGTTAGCTGTAAGAATTAGAAGCATCTTTTCAAAATTTTTGTCTCTATAATCAGCCTTTAGGGCTATTAGGAAAAATCCTTTCAAGGATTTAAATCTTTTACTTATATAGATTCAGCTTTAAATCAGAATCCCAAGACACTTCAGAATAATATAGGACTAGAACATGTTCCTTAGTGAAAGGAGTTGATAGTGCATGTTGTCAAGGACCAGCATTCTTCACAAGTTATATTGACGTGTGGTCAGATGATGGGGTGGGGGTGGGAGATGTCTTGATAAAGATTCTCAGACTACATGCGCACAATAGTTCACTTGTTGAACCTCACTCCACCCAAAATACTCTTCCAATTCTAGACTTGTTTTATTCTTCCCTCTAAGTAGAGTGTCCTCTGGCATCCTGTCCTCTGGCGTCCTCTCCCTTTCCATATTTCAAATCAAGTCTGAACTTGTCTGTGATCATTCAGGTGACTCTGATACCTTATGATACCTTATGGCGTATCATAAGGTATCTTACCATCTGATACCTTATGGTGTTGTCTTTTCATATATTAATGTTTTAGCTCCCAAACTAATTCTAAGATCCCTAAAGGCTGGAAATTTTGACATCACTAGATGGTCAGTAAATATTAGATGGTTGGTGGTATAGTTATTTTGTACACCTGTTTCTGTATTCTGCTTCTTTGAATTTCATTTTTTTTCATTTTCAATTTAATTTCCTTTTTAAAATATGTGAAGTGTTACATGGTTTAAAAGCTAAGACCTTTTTATTGGTATAATCAGAGAAGTCTCATGTTACATCTAGCCCCTCTAATCAGTCTGCCTCTTCCCCTGTAGCTAACTATTTTCATTAGTTTCTGATTAATCTGTCGTTTCTTTTAAAAAAAAGAAGCAAATGCATGGGTACGTGTACACACTCTTAAACAAAGGATGGCATACTATACAGAGTATTCTACACCTTATTTTGACATCTTCATACTTCAATTTTCATTGGGTGGATGGGCATATCATAGTTTTTTCAGCTAGGTACATATTGGTGGATATATGGGTTATTTATTTTTTTTCTCGGTAAATAATGTTGCAGTGAATAACCTTGTACATGTGTTATTTCATAATTATGGAGGCTAATCTTGAAGGAGACTGCACAGTAATTTTTATTGAGATTCATGATCTTTCCTGTGAGGGAACTTTGCCCGCAGAACACGCCGCTCCCCCCCCCCCCCGCCCCCCACCGCAGATGAGAATAAGTCTACCAAGAGATGACCTGCTGGGGAGGAAAGGTGGGTGTCTCTCAAAGGAGAAGAACCAGGAACCTGTTCCTCAATGTGCTTTTATTGGGTTTAATTTGCATGGGAATACAGGGTGTATACATAAAGCTCATTAGTCATTGTCAGACAGTAATGATCAAACAGTAGAGAACATTCAGAGAACTCTGAGGGCATATTCTGAGTCGGGGTCAGAGCTAAAGGGCCATAAAACTTTGGGGAGCAAACTCATTTCAAGCTGGGACCCTTATCAGAAAACTGAGGACATTCTTAGCAAAGCTGGTTTCACAGGATTTTATATATTCTTTCTTAGGCCTGATCACCCTGGGGAACCTGCCCTTTCCTGCCCAGGGCTGCACTGCCCTCTGTCCTTGTTTCAGGCTTAAGTAAGGCAGCCAAGAGATTAGGAGACCTTGCAGACAGGATGAGGACTCAGGTTGTGTCAAAGCTGAGGGGTGAGGGTCCATTGCCCCCTTTCTCCATAGCACCCCAAATCCTTCCCTGAGGGCCCCCTCATGACCAGGCCTGTCTTAGGTCATCCCTCCCTTGTGGAATTGTACCCACCATTGGCTAACCGGTCATACACTGGGGGCCAGGCAGAGTGAAGTAAAGTAGGCAGAGGCAGCGCCCCTGCCTGGGAGATAAGCTTTGTCTCCTTAGTGGTTTAGGGTCTCAAGGTCTCTTTACTCAGTCTTAGCCATGGGGGCTTACAGCTTCTGAAACCAGGCAGGGCAGTTCCCAACATTTCCCTAAGAAAATATAGGTGACTACAGAGACCTATACCTGCAGGTATCAGATGTTCTTTATGTGTGCTAATGAGTGGAGGTTGTTTTTTTATGATAGCATTTAAACCTTTTACATATCTTCCTTCTGGTACTATTATCTCATTAACTATCCTGAGATTACTAAGGCTAGTTTTGGTGTTTTCTCTAATGAAGAATGCCTTCTGATTTTTCATATTAGTATTGTTAAATAAATACATTTTGGTACCCATTAAGTCAGGCATTGTGTTAGGTTTTTATCTCGTGAGATAGTATTTCATTTTACAGAGGAGAAAACTGAGGCTAACAAAGGTCAAGTCACTTGTCCCAGGTCATAGAGCTAATGAATGGTGGAACCAGGATGTGAACCCAGGTTTCTTTGAGTCAAAGCCTGTGTCCTTATGCTACACCTCACTCTTAGTCATAGCAAATACACTGTATAATCATAGTTGTTATTCTTTGTTTTCCTGAAACCATTTTCTTTCTTTCTTTCTTTCTTTTTTTTGGTTGCAGAGTATTTTTTCCCCTGTTTCCTGATTGTCAAAAGAGGAATTTTTTTTGTAACAGATAGAATTAAGGTTTCATTGAGATGATCTTAGGATTAGTTTGTTGATATTGTACTTTGATATTGGTGACTAGGGTGTAAGTGATTGATAACTTAGCTGAACAGATGAGTTCTTAGCAACCAGATAAGACCTAACCTCTGCTTTAGTGCTCTCTAGGGTTTTTCTCATCTCTTTCTTGACCCTGGTTAGTTCTTTTTTCCCTTTCCTAATTGTGAGAGTAATAGCTCTTCTCCTCTGACCTTCCGTGAAGATGTTACAATAGGTCGCACTGTTACTTGGTTGTGAGAGCAGAAACTTTCTGCATTTTCCCCATGTTCCCTAATACGGACAGTGTGGATGCTGGGTAATGATGGGGATGGTTAACATTAAAGTCCCTAGTGAAAGAATTGAGGAGAATGAAAAACAATGAAGAAAGCCTCAGGTAGTCTGTATGAACAGACAGAACGGCCTAGGGGCTAGAACCAGGAACTGACTCCTGCTGGCTGGGTCTGAGCCCTGGCTCCACCATGCACTAGCTGTCCACCGTGGGCAGTTGCCCTTTTGGGGCTTCATTAGGGTTGTTGTGAGGATTAAATGAGGTGAGGCTTGTACTGTGCTTGACTCAGTAACTGTCTAACAAGTGTTGTCAATATGAAGGGTGGCAGGAAAATGACATGAAGCATCTGTATTCCATGTACTTGGCATTTATCTTAGTATTAATGTATTTCCTCAGTCCTAAGATGTACTTTTTTGTGTTTTAATATTGCTGAAATAACAATGCTTATTTGAATTGCTCAGTGAATACATTTAATGGAGTAGACAGTTTTTTTCAACGACTGTTATTCATTCAACAGTACATTGAGAAAATAAGGTATCATTAATACATGATTTACACCATATGGCTTGGTTTTAGGTGGTAGCTCACTCAAAACCACAACTAGCCGGTAACTCACTATTACTTATAGCAGCTGTTAGTTTTTAAGTAATTCTGTGTTTGCCTGTAGGATAGAAAAGATTTTCATTGATTGTGTAGAGATTTGCATAGAACACAGAAGGCATATATACTTAATGTCATTTTTAACTTTAAATGGGTACACATAGCCTCTTTTCCGTTTTAGGTACATTCCGTAAAATGTAAATTCTGGAAGATTTCAGGATGAAGAGCACCTGAAATCTTCCTTAATAAAGGTTTTGAATTTCATATTTTGCAGTTTCATGTTTTGTAGTTGATGTTTCATATTTACCTACAACTAGTATCTTTAATACCTAAATGTTGGAATATATTATTGCTTTGTGTAACTTCTTGAGAAACGTTATAATGAGACTTTCCCCCTTAAATTTTATAGGTTACTTGGCAGTTTCTTTATTTCTACATGAAAGTCATGAACTGTTGCTTCTCCTTGTGAATACAGTTGTAAAGGTACTGTATTGTATGTTGGCTATCATGAAATCTTAAATTACTTATGTAGGCATCTGACATTTTCCCCAGTCATATTGAAATAGATATTTTTGGAAGAGGCTATTATTACAGAATAGGCTTAGAAAGATCTTTTAGATCAGTTTCTGTAGCTGTAAAATGGGGCTGATAATAGAACTTAACCAACTTGTGAGGGTCAGATGAAACACTGTGTAAAGTAGTAGTTACTATTGCTGCTCTTACTGTTTCATTTGAAAAAGCAGCGCTGGACTTAGAACTCAGGTCTCCGGACTCTTAGGTCAGTGTATTTCCACGCTGTTGTCTCTTTCTCTAGGATCTGTTCTAAAGGGATATTGCTATAAACTGAATAATTTCAGTGTTTTAAGTTCTAAAACTCATTTTAAAGGAGACTAGAGTATAATTGGACAACTGGAATGTACAGATATTAAAAACACAATTTAATCCATACAGTATTTTTTCTGTTAAATTTTTAATCAAAGTTGGTAATGAAGTATAATTGAACTGTTGAGCTTTTTCATGTTTATCTGGTGTCAGTCATTTGGGGGGTGTGTGTGTGTGTGTGTGTAGTACTTCCTGAATTTTAAGTCATATACTTTTTAAGGTTACTAGTAGCTTTAATTTTTCCAGAGTTTCAAAAACACATTTTTAGCTCCTATTAGAATGATTTATAAATTTGTACATGTGTAAGTGTGTATGAATGCATGCATTTATTGTATGTATTTGAGGATTACTTCCTTTTAAACTTCAATACATAATATTGATTAACAGGAAAAATTCATAAAATTGGTTTGTTATTTGTTTAGAAAAGTTTTAGAAGTTGTTATACAGGAGACTACTTTGCCCAGTGTCAGAACAGAAATACAATTTCCTTTTGGATCAGTTGATTTCTGGCTGTGTGTATCTGTTGACTCTGTTAAGGCAAATGAAACAGGGATACTCCTATAAAATAAAGTTAGTAGAAAACTGTTAAGTATGTGGGACCATTGCAGTGTTGAGCTCGCTACCCCTGATTTTGAAATTCACACTGAATATTCCCTTTGCTTTATAATTATGTCAGGACTTGCAGAGCACTAACCTGGTAGAAGTATGTATGGCACTTACTATTGTAAGCCAGATTTTCCCTCGAGAAATGATTCCAGCTGTTCTTCCATTAATAGAAGATAAACTTCAACATTCTAAGTAAGTAAATTCTTTTTGGATAGGCGTATATACTGTATATTTCAAAACAAACATTTATACACAAAAATTGATTATAACTAAATGCTACCAAGATAGGGAATAATCTTTGTCAGATAAAATGCAAAAATCTCAGATAACACTGTCCTTATTTTTACGTGGGTTTAGAAGAATAATAGGCAGCTTTCTAAAGTGAAACGGAGGGACAGTGAGGAGACCAGTGTCAGGAAGCCATCCTTGGCTCTCCTGCTACTCCTGCCGCTGACCAGTCGTGGTGCTGGTTTTCCCGGGGCTGTCTGGGGCTGTGATTCTCACAAAGTGTTTTGAGAACAAAGTGAAATAATGGAAAACATTTGGGAAATAATTCAAGTGTCATGAATGCACAGATCTTCACTGTATTGGCGATACTTTTTTATTAAAACTGCAACATTCAAATTCTGTTTTAGAATATATCCTAATAAACCTTAACTTGTAGTATTTTGATAATCTTATTTTATAAGGTTCCTTAACTCCTTAATGCTTGGCTTATTTTTTCACCGCACTTGAATTATTTTGTTGTTGAACACACCGCTTAACTTTGTAACCTTTAAAGCTCAGACTTACTTCAGTGTTTTGTTATATCACGTCTGAATTTTGAACAAATGATGGGTATTGATAATTAATTATTGGAGATAAAATAATAGCTTTTCTTAGATAATTATAGATTGATCTGATCATAGCAGAGCATATTTTTATATGAAATTTCCATACCACCATTCTTTTGTGGTAATCATACTTGCTGACTCTGTATGAAATTCTTCTGAGAATTGACTTTTTTTCCTTACTGCTTCCCATTTAACCCTTTCAATTTTTTTCTCATTGCTTTCCATCTACTCTAATTTCAAATCTTAGACTCTACTATTTTCTGCAAGTTACAGTTTTGAAGGTCTGTTTCCACAGTTAAGGCTATCTTTAATTCCATGTAATGGAGTGAAGGGCCAAAGAATATGGGACAGTGTTACAGGTACAGGGGTTGGACTTGACTTTGAATTTCTGGCTGTATTTCAGCGTGCCAGACGTAGAGCCCAGACAGTGCTCTTGACAGCATGTGTCAGTGCCACCACTGAGGTACAGGCTGCGCATTCCTGAGCCTGTTCAGAGTTTGTTTTTCCTGGCCTCATTTGCCTGTTCTGTCCCAGAACTAATACTGGTTAATACCCAAGAGCTGTACATTAGGATGTCCTTTACAGTCACCATAGTACTAATACCAATGGCAAATTTGTTGCTAATCCTTTCTAATACTTTTCTACCATGGTATAGTTTGCCTAGAAGATAGTAAGTTGCTTGTTGTGGAATTTAGCAGAAGCTATAGAACCATTTGTTAGGAATCTTATGAAAGATATCCTTAAGTAGAACTCAGAGGGTGGCATTGAATAATCTGAATTTTGATATTATATGATTTTAAGTAACAGCAATACATAAAAGTAAAAGTAAATACTTTTGTGACATTTGCTGCTGCTGTGAGCAATGTCAACATAGTCTGAATATGAGTTATATAGAAAGGGCATGAGAGAGAATACTAAGGAATATATATTCTTGGAAACTACATTATGAACATAGATAGGCTAGGAACTCTATTTTTATGTCTTGTATGCTAGGCATGATCTGCGCTTTTACTCTTAATTGTAATGAGGTTTTTGAAACAAGAGCTGGGCAAGGAGAGGAGTAATGTTGTTAACTGTGAATCCTCTGCTTCTCTGCCCCCTTAAAATATTTGGAGGATGCTACCCCTGGCTGGCGTAGCTCAGTGGATTGAGCGTGGGCTGCGAACTAAAGTGTTGCAGGTTCGATTCCCAGTCAGGGCACATGGCTGGGTTGCAGGCTACGGCCCCCAGCAACCACACATTGATGTTTCTCTCTCTTTCTCCCTCCCTTCCCTTTCTAAAAAATAAATAAATAAAATCTTTAAAAAATATTTGGAGGATGCGTGTTCATGATATAAAAAATATATATAAAATTCTAGAATGTTAAAGAGACTTTTAACATTAATAAAAAAACTATTTAATATTACTAGCTGTAATTACCCTTTACTGATTTAAACTTACTATTGATTCTTTTCCCAATTGCGGGAGATACGGCTTTCAAAAATGGGATTAGGGAATTAAGGAACTTATTTATTTTTCTTGTTCTGGTTTCAAAAGTAATGTATGCTTGTTAACAAAAAATTCTATAACTAGATAAATATATAACATGGGCAGTTAAAGTCTTTTGACATCTTACCTCCTAGAGATACCACTTTTTATAATTTGGTGGATTAGAATAGAGAAATTAATAATAAATGTATAATTTTTTCTTTTTAGATCAAGGTAATAGCTGATATATTGAAATCATTTGACCCATACATAATTTGTTCAAATTAAATGCCTGACAATTCACATGGTTTGTTTAGATTTCACTTTTTATCTTTAGGGAGATAATACGAAGAAAAGCTGTTCTGGCTTTATACAAATTCCATCTGATTGCTCCTAATCAAGTACAACACATCCACATCAAGTTTCGGAAGGCGCTTTGTGACAGAGACGTTGGGGTCATGGCTGCTTCCCTGCACATATACCATAGGATGATTAAGGTAAGTGGGACATTTCAGCAGGTACTGAATAGTTGTCGGACAACTACTCATGGAATATAATTTTGGAATTTAAAAACCTGAGATTTTTCAGTCAAATGCTTAACATTTTAAGTTTTTATTACTGACTTATAAATAGTAATTTTTGGAAGTTGTTGATAACATGATAAACATGAGTTGTAGGCACATGACAGAATTAGTCTTTTTTTTTAATGCCTAAAATTTATTCATGTTACTCAAGAAACATAGAAAAAATGGTAGGTAGGAAGGAGATTGATATTTACAGATTTTGGTTTTTCATGCAGTAATTGTCTTTCTAACAGCCTCATAGGATGATGCATAACCTCTGGTAGAAATGAGGAGAGCCCTTAGGGGTTACGTAAGGTATGGACTACAGTGTCGATGCCATACACTGATACTGTGTTAGAAAAGCTACGAGGGTTAATGGTGTAGTAAAAAAAAATTTCTAAATGGAGACATGGGTTTATACTAAATCAACCCCAGTGTATTGCCTGAAACCCTTTTTATCAAAGTACATATTTGTGAGAAATCTCATGAGTACCTCATAATGAAATGGAATATGCTGTTGAATTCAATTTAAAATTATAGAACTAAAGTTACCTTCACTTTTATGCATTGTGTTCCAGAATAGTATGATACAAATGGATATTTGATATTAAATTCTATTTTTTCTCTAATATTTACTAAACTTTGAAAGAGCTATTATTTCCTTTCTAAAAATTTGTCCTTGATCTGTTGCATAATAAGAATTACAATGATGAATCTTCATTTTGAGGAATGTGTATTTAATTTCCCCAGTCCAAGAGATTAGTGAGATAATCGAGGTGCACTCACTCATTCAGAAACACAAACATATTTAAATATTTTAGGGTAAATCAGTTTTTAGTAGACAGATTCAGTGATTTTGGAGGGTTTAAATGTTTGAGTAGTCCTGGGTGTGTTCTGTGCTCTTCCACCCAGAACAAACTTAGATCATTTACATGAGAGGCCTTTTGCAAACAAAGTCTAGAGATTGCAAACAGGCCTAAACTTGCAAAACTAAAGATATTACAGCCCTTTTTCAGTATACCAGTTCCCTTTACTTTTTGATTTAATTACTGGTATTGACTATTAAAGGTTCTATATAAGATGTAATTATAAGAATTTTTGAAATGCGATTATACTGTGTGTGGGAACAAGTAGGGAATGGTGGATGATTCAGCTTTGGATGTAGTAGCCAGAGCAGTTTCATCATGGAAGAGACTTCTGAGTTGATGTGTATTAAGTTAGATTTTATATGGCAACCAACTCTATTTTATATGTATTAAGACATGATTTTTAACACAAAAATTTTTTTGTTTTTTGTTTCATTTTTTTGAACGTAGGAGAATTCATCTGGATATAAAGACTTGACTGGGAGTTTTGTAACAATTTTGAAGCAAGTGGTTGGAGGAAAGCTCCCAGTAGATTTCAATTACCACAGCGTCCCAGCTCCCTGGTTACAAATTCAGCTCCTGAGAATTCTAGGACTTCTAGGGAAAGATGATCAAAGGTAAACTAAGTAAGTGTGATAGCCTTAGTTTGTAGTCACCTGGAGGTTTTAAGATAAGCCAGATTCTCCCAGTGTGTAATTGGCTTCATAGTGATAAATAAACCACTTTATATAAACAACTTTATAAGAAGTCTATAAAAAAAAAGTAGATAGATTCAGGTTTTTGGGATAATCCTGGCTCTCTGCTTATCTAAATCCTACTCACAGTGAAATGTCCCTCTGAAGCTTTATATTTTCTGCAAAGCTTTCTTAGTCATTCTAGTTGAGGTGTTGGGAAACTTTTTCTGTCAAGGGCCAGATAATAAATATTTAGGCTTTGTGAGCTATGTGTTGTCTGCTGCAGCCTTTCAGCTCTACTGTTGTATAACTCAAAAACAGCCATAGACAGTACATAAGTAAATGAGCACAACTAATAGAGAAAAACTTTTTATGGACGTTAGAACTTGAATCTCATATAGTTTTTGTGTTGTGAAATGTTATTTTGATTTCCCCCCCAACCATTTAAAAATGTAAAAGCCATTCATAACCAGCAACCAAACAAAAATAATCAGCTGGATGAGGCCTTCAAACTATAGCTTACTGAGTTTTGCTCTAGTTGGATGTGAACGCTTTACCTTCTTCATTCATTTGTCTGAATTACTCTTTCAGCCAATAATTTATATTAAACTTTTTATGGGCATCTTTCCAATTATATATACATACACATACATCCTTATAGTACAGTAGCTTTTTATTTTGCCTGTAGATTTTCAAACTTATAGGAGAGTTCTAAGAATAGTACAAGGAGCTCTCTTTTGCCTTTTACTAGACTCATTAATTATTTGCATTTGCTCATTCTCTGTATATGCATGTGTGCACGCATTATTTTTATTTTTAACTTTTTTCTGAATTGTTTGATAGTAAGTCCAGCTAGTGCCCTGGAGAGCAAGGAGCATGGCTTGAGGCTTTGAATTATTTGTTTTAACAAAATATTTGCTCACCATTGTTCTGACTTTATGTGATATGGTTCCCTTTTATGCAGTAGGATTCATCTATTCCATATAGATGACATATTCTATTACATATTCTAATTCTTAGCCTAGCTTTATGAAGGGATTGGCCTCTAGGCTATTGCTCCTAGTGATTTCTTGTCAGTGTCATGCCAGCATCTGTTTGCCCATGAGCTCCTGATAAATGCTGGCTGGGTTATAGCACTTTTGGTATGGCTATTTACATTCTTCTGTGTTTATGAACCTCAACCCCTGATTAAAACCTATGGTGCAAACCTGGATGTCATGGAGAAGACACACACACATTAGAAATGTTTGTCCTAATTATATTTTACTTTATGTAATTCATGCTATCTTATTGTGGAGCTCTAGTTGGAGTTCACTGGAATTCTCGTTTAAAACCACAAATTTCATAGTAATGTATCCAGACCTTACTGGTCTCAAAATATTTAATGCCATCATATGTTGTCAGAAAGTGAAGTAACTTTTTTTTTAATCCTCTCCTGAGGATATGTTTATTGATCTTTAGAGAGAGAGGAAGTGAAGTAAGTTTGAGGCTTTTAGTGAATTTACTAAATGCACTAACTTATTATCTTCCTTCCTTCTTTCATGGGTGAATTTGGAGAATACATGCAACGGTGACAAGAGAGTGCTTACCTTCAAGTTAAGCAGCTGTCAGTCTGTTTCATGTCTGGAAACTTCTGTGACTGTTTGGTTCCTCAGTTTATTGTGTTCATTAGATTCCACATATAAGTGAGATCATGTGGTACTTGCCTTTCACTGACTGGCTTAATTCACTCAGCATAATATTCTCTACCTCTATCCATGTTGTTGCAAACTGTAAAAGTTTCTCCCTATTCACTGCTGTGTAGTATTTCATTGTTAATTTTATCTTTTTGCTTGTTTGCTTTACAGTTTACTTTCTGTGTAAGACTACTGTGTGTATTCTATGTTGAGGCAGTTTTTATTTCTGTTTTTTTTTTTTTAATTTGTAAAACATACAAAAATACCAGCTGAAAAGCCATAGTTTTCATGTTGTCATCTTGGAGGGGACTTTTCTAGGCAGGAGGACGAGTGCTACAACTCTGTAAAGCACTGCATTTTCTTACAGTATCCACCTCAACCCAGTTACTGTTACCGTAATCAGTGATCATAAAGACATAGGAATGGTATTTTCTTATATTTCACATGTTTAACATAAATGAAAGATAAAATTTCCTTTCTGAAGAACTCAGTGTTATTCATAGAGTAGTATTTGAATACTTAAAAACTTTACAAAATTATGTGGTTTAAATACAGATAATGTACTGTCTGGAATAATCTGGGTATGTGAGGTATTACTGTAGTAATTTGAAACAGGTAGAAATATTTTATTAAAAAGAAAATTATAAAAGATAGTGTGTTCAGTTGAATAAAAACCTGATTTGTAAATTAGGTGCAGGTTGAGGGAAGAGTTGATTGACTTACGTTTCTCTTCATTGACTAGTGAACTTTGATAAAGCAGGAAGTTAAACTCATGAAAAAGAGCAAATAGAATCTTTAAGAAGTGAAATTCCCATAGCTTCATAAAATGAAATTTTTTCACTCCTTTTCTGTAGATCCTCAGTTTTAAGGAGAGAGAAGTTTGAAAAACTATGTTTTATTGGGTTATAATACTATAATTCTACTGCAAATAAAATATCTTTTAAACAGGACAAGTGAATTAATGTATGATGTTCTTGATGAATCCTTACGAAGAGCCGAGTTAAATCACAATGTCACATATGGTAGGTAATGTGTAAATACTACTCTAATGACTAACAGTATTTTTCAGTAGTGTAGCTGAATCTGTGTTAGAATACTACATATTCCAATAGAATTTTATATGTCAATTTTTAAGGTGATTCTTTGGGTTATTATTTTTCAGTGGAAGCATTGAGTAACTAATAGAAATAATTTGAAATTATGGCATTCTTTTAAGTATTGACCTAATTTCATTATTATATTTGCCTCTCTTTTAACACTTTATTTTTAAGATGAATAATCTCTTTATTGAAAATATTTATCAACTTAGTAGACATGTTCCATACTTAATAAGACAGTTCTTAAATACATCAATTAGTCAACTAGTTGTCAAATATTTCTTAGCTTTCTATTATTTGTTGGGTCCTGTGCAAGATACTTGGAATACAGCTGTGAATAAAACAGTGTTATCATTGAGCTTGTAGACTAGATAAATGCCAAGGTCCAGGTGCTGTAAAAGTTATAAAGCAGAATTATAGGGTCCTTTGGGAGAATATAGCAGCTAGTCTTAGGTGAGACTAAGTCTTAGTCTTAATAGTCTTAGTCTTAATAGTCTTAGGTGAGGGGGAGAACAAGGAAGGTGTTTATGAAAAAGTGATATTTAAGAACACAATTGAAGGTTGAGTATTATATAGATAAGGATATATAGGATATATATGTGGATAATAGCATACTATTTTTCGAAGAGACAGGTCTTTATATATAATTTTATATAATTTTAAAAAGTAATTTGGTGATAGGAGACAAGAATAAATTGGGGGCGGAGAGTGGAGAACTCAGAAAAGTAACCAAAAATACTTCCAATCTAATAGCCAGAGGGAGGAACGATTAGCTCTTTATCGATCAGTCTGAGAAAGCTCTGTGAAGAAATTGGGATATTTGGAGATACTTACAAGATAGAAGTAAAACAGTGTGAGTTTTACATGTGGTGGAGAAGAGTGGTAGAAGAGGCATTGACAGAGATAACTCAAATAAGTCATTTCTTAATCTGATGAAGTACTGTGAAGAGCATTACTGGTTCTTTTAGACAATGGTAAACTGCAGATCTTTAAGAGCAATGGTTGTAGAAATGTAGGGTAGCAGGCAGAAATTGAACTAGTTTAATTGTAATAAAAGTGCTTGACAAAGATGGAGTAGGAGGTAGGAGGAAGGGTTACACGCATAAGAATAGTACACAAAAAATAATATAAATGGTAGTGAATTGGGTTAGTAAATTTAAAAGGATAGATTTATATTTTGCATGTGTAAGTGGTGAATAAAGGCAGTAAGAGTGGTTTATTCATTTGTCTAGCCAGTGTTTATTGAATTCCTACAAAACAAAACCTTGGTTTGTAAACTAGGTACAACTAGAGGAAAGAGTTGATTGACATATTCTTCCATGCTGAGTGTGGGAGGTTAAAGGAGGAATAAGGTAGACACAGCCCCTGCCCTTACGAGTCTATAGTATAAGAAGAGTTGATTTTGTGTAGGATCCTGCTATGTAATGAGAAGAGTAAGGGGCCAGAGATGAGGAGGACCCTTTCTGAGGCAGGCGGTTTGGCTAGGAGCTGTCGGAAGGTCCAGAGAAGTGTCAGAGTTTTGGTAGGCAGCTAAAGTAAGTTAAAAGTTTTGTTTGAGGTATAATCAGTGTCTAGGTATAATCAGTGTCTGAGGTATAATCAGTTTGAAAGACTCTTGAGGACTTCTGTTTAAAATTAGTTAAGAATCCTGTTTTTCTTGCAGAAAGTTTTTTTTCTTTTCTTTTGGTAACTGCATTTCAGCTTTAATTTTTTTATTTTTTTGAATAGGTAATATATGCACATGGTTCAAAATTCAAAAGGTACAAAAGGGTATACAGTGAACAGTAAGTGTCCCTTTGATCCTTATCCCCCACCACCCAGTTCCCCTTTCTGGAGATGGCCACTGTTACCTGTTCCTTTTGACTAGGAGAATACTGTATACCTGATGAAATATTTTCCCCCAGGACACCTTCTCTTGCTCAGATTGCTGGCATCAGTCTGAGTGCTGTCAGCACCCACAGTTTGTTTCGTTGTAGGCTCTCAGTCCAGTGTTTCACTCTGCCACAGAAACCTGACCATTTCTATTGTTTTGTTTCCTTTATTCATCTTTCCATCATTATTGTTTTTATCCCATATTTGTATTGATATAATTTGTAGGTAACATTGATTTTATCAGTGGTAGAGTATTCTCTAGTAACCCGTAAATAAATACTTTATTACTTATGGATGTGAATTTTAAATTATTAACTTGATAAGGGAAGGGACTGTGTCTGTCTTATTCGCCAGCATATCCCAGTATCTGGCACTGGGTTAATCAATGAGTAATATGTCTTAATTGAATGGAAGGAAGAGAAAGTTATTTTACTTCTATTAGTTATCTATGTGATTGAGTTTTAGTCTTAATACTTCCTAAACTGTATTTTTATGAAAGTTCCATTATTATAACTTTCTTGTCAAACCAAGAAATAAATCACATCAAAGACATTTATTGAGTATTTGCTATGTGCCAGGCATTGTATAAAGAGATGTAGAGAATATGAAGAAGTATAAAATGTAGTTTTTGGCTTTAAGGAATTTATAATGTGGAAGAGATAACTTAATTACGAAAGCATAATACCAGTATAAGGCAGAACGCCAAGTGGTGGTACAGGAAGTAAGTATGGCAGGAATTCTGAGGTGGTAGTGATCACTGTGATTTATTGATGTAATAGACTCTGTAAGATGGGTAGGATTTGGATGGCCAGAAGGGAGGTTGAGGGGAGTTCTACGAAGAGGCAGCATGAGAAAAGGTGCGGAAGTGGAGATGTTTAGAACGCTTTCAGAGAACATTGACTCACTAGCCTGAGGGGACCATTCATGGTGAGAGCTTTAGAAAGGCCGTGATATGGATGGAGGCCTTTGCATGGCAGCCAGAAGAGTTTGGACTTCATACTGTATAAATCTGGAGGTGTGAGAAATTTTTTTGTCAGGGTACTGAGAAGATGAGAATGACATTTTTAGTAAACTAGTAAATTGGGAGAATTATATAAAATGGAATACGAGGGACAGAACCATCAGAACTAGATAGAAGTACCTTTCCCTCTTTTTCATACTAAGTATTCCTAAAAACCCTGGACATTAAATGTAAAATAAACACAAGAGTCTAAAAGGTAGAGAAATGAAAGTAGGCTGGTTAGGGACACAAGGCACAACACCACAGTGAGTACCCTGGGCTTTTTTCTTGCCTCACATTCCCCAAAATGGGTACTGGAGAGTCAGCAACCTGGAAATGCCAACAGGTGCAGACAAAACAACCCAAGAAGAAAAGAGCAAGAACAAACTAGCAAGATAGAAAACGTTTAGAACAGCCCCTCTATTCCAGCCAAGCACCATACAGAAAAAACTATGGAACTACCCACTGTAGCAAAGGCTTAGTGGAGAGCCTAGATTTCCACCCTCACCAGGTGTATACCAGGCCCCACCCAACCCTCCCAGTGGGCTGGTGTCAGAGAAGCCCAAGAGGGGAGCAGGAGTTTCATCCCTGCCATGTGTTAACAGGGGCGCCCTCTCTTGCCCTGTCAGTAGAGATGATGTGGGAAGCCTGTATTTCATAGTATCAGGGAGCAGATAGTGACAAAGTACCCCTCCCCCTCTTTGCTGAGTAGTTAAAGAGGAAGCTAGTGGAGAGTCAGGGCTTTCATCAGTGCTCAGGCATGGTAAGGCCACCCGCTCAGTGTCAACGGGGGCAACACAGGGAGCAGTAATGAGGCAGGCACTCCTCCCTCTCCCAGGCGAGACAGTGTCAGCAGATCCTTGCATCTCCCACCCTTGAGAAGCCAGGATTCCCTCCTGTCAAAGTGTCAAAGTGGGCAGAGGGAGCAGAGACCCTGGACTTGCACCCCTGTTAGGTGGTGCCTCCATCTCTCTGCCAGAGTGCTGTCAGTAGATAGAGACATAACTTATTTAAAATTGAAGTCTGAAGGATAAGATGGCAGTAGAACTTCTTTGTGCATATTCCAACCCAAAATATTTATGATAAATCCATGGTGTCACAGATGTTAGAATGTTACTAAATTTTAAATTTGGGAATTTTTTCTTGATTATATTTTAGTGAGGACCTGGGTTGCTCTGGAAGAGTAAATAAAGTTCTGTGTTATGTTTTTATGTTTAGAAAGCCTCAGAAGTACTTTTCGTTTAACCACTGTGGAGGGAGGTCAGCAGAATGCTGCTATTTTATTCATGGACTTACATTCAGACTTTTGCAGAGTTGGAGAATAAAGGGACTTAGTTCTAGATGTAAAAATAATTTAGAAACCTAATAAATTCATTTTCAGCTAATTTACACCTAAGTTGACTAGTAAGGACAGTTTTTAACCTATTAATTTTTACCTAGAATAGCTTTCCAGAAATCTTACGATAATGTATATATAAAAGTTTAGATTTTAGAAGAGTAATGAGAAGTTTTTTATAGTAAAACAATTTGATAGCAAGAGAATTCTGAATGACAGGAACACATAAAGGCAAATATATCAGTTGTGGTAGAAAATGGAACATCATAATTTTAAGTCTTGCTTAGGATTGTCACATTAGTTTAGGGTTTGGTAAACTTTTTTTGAAAAGGGGTTCAGATAGTAAATATTTTAGGCTTTGTAAGTCACATAAGTTTCTGTCACAGATTTTCCTTTGTGTTTTTGTTTGTTTTGTTTTGTCTTTACAACCTGTGAAAAAATGTAATTATACACCTGAAAGTAATATAATATGTCAATTATATCTCAATTTAAAAATGTAAAACCCATTCTCAGTTTACAGGCTTGCAAAAATAGACTGAGGGCTGGATTTAGTGGTAGTTTGCCCACTCCTGCCTTCGTTGATAATTGATTAGTTAAGACTCTCTTTGTTTAGTTCATAAAGTTGTAAAGTCAACTTTTTTTATAGAACAGAGTAAAGACATTTTATAGCACAATATCTGAATATACAAAGTGTCTTTTTAGGTTCAGTTAACTTACTTTGTATGTTTTCCTTTAATTAAAGTCAGTTCCCTTCTTTTTAAAAAATGTATTTAGTAATTTGAGAGAGAGAGAGAGAGAGAGAGAGAGAGAGAGAGAAACATCAATGTGTTCCACTCATCTATGCATTCATTGGTTGACTGGGTGGTTAAACCCACAACTTTGGCTATCTGGACAATGCTCTAACCAGCTGTGCTACTGAGCCAGGGCGCAGTTCCCTTCTTCTTTTTGTTTCTTGTGATTTTGTTTTTATTGGGATGTAGGTGGTGGGTCACTATGGGTGGCTATACCCCACCAGGGTACCACTGTCTGTTCTGATCTTCCTGGGAGAGTTTTGGAGCTTTTTCTTTTTCTTGGAGCTGCTGCTTTTGCTTCCGTCAGCATCTTCTGGTCTACTGCTGAGTTCTTCCTCCTCAAAGAGAATTTCCTCTTTTCCTTGGGGACACTCTTGTTTCCTGCTTCCTGAGGGTCACTAACAGGTTCCTCTTTGGGGAAAGATTTCCACTGCCAGTTGTCTCCACAAAATCACTGCTAGCCAGCTCCTCCTTGGAAAAAGATTTCTTTTCTTGGGGTTTGGATAGAGAGACAGCTGGGTCTTCCATTCTGTTCTCCTAAGGAGCCTTCTGGAGCTTTTTCTTTTTCTTATTTTGGTTTTCACTTGTCTCCTGACACTCCTGTGGTGTACTACTGTTTTCTGAAGATGTGAGGGCAGTTGCAGCCAGCCACTCCTTTTCCTTCAGGTGTTTCTTGTACTGTTTCTCTAGCTTCCTGGTAATTCAGCACCCGCCGCCTCTGCCTGAACCGTTGCCTCCTTCATGACCTCCAGATTCTGTCACGGAATCTCTCCAGTCTCATAGAAGAATAGCTGCTCTTACACTTGTTCTTGAAGCTCCTCCCCAAATGCACTTGTGGGTGTCTCAGAGAAGCAATCAGTTTGTGAGGCAGTACTGCATTTATTTGTCAGGTGTCCGGAGACGTGGTCTTTGTTCTTGGCAGCTGCTCAGCCAATGCAGGTGGAGTAGAATGAGTCCATTTTGGGGGTGTTACCCCTTGTCTTCAGGGCTCTGGAAGCTTTGTCCCTTTGCTGGGCTCTGGGAGTCACTCAGACACCAGGACTGGCCATTCAGTTCCCTTCTTAATGAGTAATTTATATTTCTGACTTCTTTTCTCTCTCCTTTTATAGAAGGGTATATATAAAGTTTTTACACAGTGTTTATGTGTGCCTCAATTGATAGGCAGTTTAGTGTAAAACATAGCTGGTTGAATATTCAGGGTCTATCTTGTATACAAAGTGTCAGATTGTTATGTTTTAAGCTTTTGGAAATAGAGAAAGTGATTCTGAACACTTGATATGCTTCAACTTGTATTAGAACTGTTTTTAAGTCTGCTGATTCTGTCTCCCTCCTCATACCAGGATTGCATGGGACATGCAGGCTTAATGGTGCCCCAGTGATTCTCCTTTACCATGGCCAAGCTCCAGCTCCTTGACTCATGCTCTTTCAAAGAGTTTGGAAAACAGTTTCGGTGTCCACTTTGATCATCTGTCAGTTACCAGATCTTTGACTATATGAGAAAATCATACTGAACACTATCAAGATGTTCAGTAGATTGTTGTATATTCTTCGAGATTAATTTTAAAGAAGTAACGAAGGTTTTTGAGCAGTGGTTCTACTTTGAAATAAATGCTAGAGCATTTTGAAATGATTATATTAAAATAAGTCACACATACAGTTTTTGTATACAAGTGGTAGAAACAGCCTGAAAATAAAGCATTTTAAAGCATTCAAGAAGTGTTAGAAATATCTATTTATGTAGGAACAAGGAATATATTACTTATGTGTCCATTGGAATGTGAGCTTCTTGAGAGCAGGGTTTGGTCTGTTTTGTTCACTGCTGTATCCGTACTACTGGGACAATGCCTGGCACATAGGAGGTGTTCAGTAAATACTTTGGCATGAATGAATGTATCATTTTTATCTGTTACTATACATAATTGCCTTTAAATTATACTGTGGTAACATAATCCTAATAACTGTATAAGCCTGAAAACAGTCAAGTGTGAAAATTGTATCTTTGAAAATTTTTCATAAAAAGATTTTGATAAAAACCAGCCTTCCAATTTGTTTCGTTAAGAGTTCTACACAGATATGTTCTTTAGTGTGCCTTAACATGATCTCTGATATTTTTATGTTTTCTTTCTCTAGCTATTCTGTTTGAATGTGTACATACAGTCTATTCCATTTATCCCAAATCAGAATTACTTGAGAAGGCTGCCAAGTGCATTGGAAAATTTGTCCTATCACCTAAAATAAATCTCAAATACTTAGGTAAGATGATTGGTTCTTTTGCTGGAAATTACAGAGAGCTTTTGAAATTTGTTTGCTCTTTCAAGTCACTTTGTATAACGTGATCTTTGTTTTCAGGACTGAAGGCTCTTACCTATGTTATCCAGCAGGATCCCACTCTGGCGCTTCAGCACCAGATGACAATAATTGAATGTTTAGACCATTCTGATCCCATTATTAAAAGAGAGGTAAACTGATATTTTGTATTGTGTATGTGAAGTGTTGTACTTTTTAACCTTTGTGTTGCTATTAATAGAGAGATTAAAGTGGTAGGCAATGTGTATGAGAGCGTGTGTGCGCACATGTGTATTTTAACTCTTTTTTAAAAAATATTTTATTTATTTATTTTAGTCAGAGGGTAAGGGAAGGAGAAAGAGAGGGAGAGAAACATTAATGTGTGGTTGCCTCCACACATTAATGCCCCCAAACTGGGGACCTGACCTGGCCTCCAACCTAGGCATGTGCCCTGACTGGGAATAGAACTGGCAACCCTTTGGTTTGTAGGCTGGCACTCAGTCTACTGAACCATACCAGCCAGGGCTATATTTTAACTTTTGAGAGCATTTTATTCTTTCTACTGCAGTTTAAGGAACTTTTCTAAAAAATTCTTGTGTCATTATCCACAGGAATGATTTTAAATTATGAGTTGGAGGATAGGCCCAATTACTATCTTTTTGATCCAAGAATTTTATCAGTAGGAGGTCTGGATTCTATTCCCAGTTTTTTCTTAGTACTATTTTAAGGTGTATTATATAATGATTAATAATTTTTCATTATGTTCTGAAACATCTGTGAAATGGGCTAATGCATTCCCTATTACATATGTAGGAATGTTGAAAGAATTAATGAAAACATTCCTAAAATGATTTTAACTTTTTGAAAGGAAAGATGTATAATTCATTTAAAAATTTTCTAGCTTTTTCCTTTTGTAAAATTGCTTGGTTTTCTATATAAGCATTATCTGTTAATTCTCATATAGAGAAATCACTCTATACCTTAATTTAAAATGCTATATAGGAATTAGTTAAGAAGAGTGATAGTTTTATTTGATTTTAAAAGTAATAAAGTTAAAAAGACCTACTAAATGTTTAAATTATTTAATGAATTAACTATTTATTGAGAGAATACGGTATTGCATTAAATGATTGTAATTTTTAAAAGATTATGAATTTTGAATTTTAAAAGATACTATTTGTGAAACAAAACTATTTTTGATAAATTGCCATCTGCATGTGTGTGTGTGTGTACATGCACACACATTTTTTGCATTCATGTTTTCAGTCTTCAGAAATTGTTGTCTTCCTTGAATGAATCTGGGAACTTTACAGATGTACTAATTTCTATGTGTAGGCATTGTAGAAAAATGAGAAGGTACCAAGGGACAATAACATGATTATACAGCTCTTCAATTTCAAACAGATACAGAGCATTCATTTGCTTTGTGTGGGTGACTACTAAATTGGACGTGGTTGACTTAGGTGCAGTTATCTTGTTGTTATATTGAATTATTGGGCTCTCATTTAAAAATCAGAGTCAAAAGGAAAACAGGCAACTATTAAAATGATCTATTCTGATATGTTTGGCCTAGTACCTGCAATGAGAAAAGTTGTTTGAATTCTTTGTGGAAGGTACTAAGTATCAGTGGTGTCTCAAGAAGTCACTGCAATAGTCTCCTCAGTGCCATTGTCACTTCTAACTTCTGTTGGTTGGCAAGAACTTTGGTCCTTGGGTATGGACTGACTTGTTGCTTGGGGCTGGGATTTCCTTTTACCAGGTTTTATTACCTTTCTTTCATATAGGGAGAAAGAAGGCAAGAAGGAGTTAATGGCAAAGACCTCTCTATTCATGCAATTCCTAGTACCATACTTCATTCAGTCCTAGAAATGCTAAATTTCATGGTGTTAGAGTAGGAAATAAATTTGGTGTAGATTATCTAAAAATATGTAACATAATTTAGAGTCTACAGGGAGCATGTCTGAAACAGCTTCTTAAATTGAAAGCTGTTGATGGGGGAACCTTTGTATTTATAGACTTTAAATAGAGTTAAGGATTAACTGAAACAGCTTTTAAAAAAAATCTTTCAAAATCTGTTATAACTTTATACTTGAAGTCCTGGCCGTGAGGATTGAAAAATTAGAAAGGACCTGAAGAATATTTTGAACAAGCTTTGACAAGTAGGATATATGGAAATTCTCTTGCTGCTAATATTACTGATCTTAAAACACCAGTAAAGGATCTTTTCTCAGTATTGTCCTTGGTCTCATGTTGATTTCTGAGAGCTATGATGTTTTTAGAACCTTAATGTAGGGCCTTAGAAAGCCAGCCAAATGGGAGCTTACTTTGGTACTGGTGTTCCTTCATCTTACTTGAGGCAGCAAGAGGTATGTTCCTCAGCACTGAGAAAGTAGCTATAAAACAATTCTTAGATACCTAAGATTCTTGCTATGCTTTGAAGCACTTGAGCCACCAACCTTTGTGCATTTCATTCATCAGAGGCCCTTTGCCCTTAGCTGACCAACCCATTCACATGCTGTTTGCTGTTGCTTGGGTAGTATTTATTTCTAACAAAGTTACCTTTAAGTTCTGTGCATTTCTTTAGCACCTATTAACTGGCCTGCTCAGGAGATCTACATAAAAGTGAAAGAATCAACTGTGTTATAAATATATATGTTGCAGTATTTATTGGTATTATCATGCATAATTTTATAATACTCTATATTTTTCTTTTTTAAACAGACTCTGGAACTTCTTTACAGAATTACTAATGCACAGAATGTAATAGTGATTGTACAGAAAATGCTTGAATATTTACATCAGAGCAAAGAAGAGTATATTATCATCAATTTGGTTGGCAAAATAGCTGAGCTGGCTGAGAAATATCCTTTGTTTGAACCATAATCATAAAATACCTTTAGTTACACAGTAATTTAAAAATGACTGACATAGATGTGTTCACGTGCAAATTGAGTTCAGAGGTCTAGCAATAACTTCCATTCCTGATGTATAAGCCTCTCTTGTCAAAATCAGGAATTTGTGTAGCCTTCCTAGGGGATGGCTTTTTTCTTGGCTCTCATCATTCAGTTGGTCAGTATTGTGAGCAAGAAAATACGGGAACTGCTGCCTGATTTCTCTGTCATTCCCTCCTTGTCTTTGATTTCTTACTCAGATTCTTTTCCGAGTGAAAGTTCTTGCTGCTGTTTTTTTTTGTGGGGGGCAGAATCAGAATGTTAAAATTTATTCTTTACAGGGGTTGGCAAAAGTAGGTTTACATTGTATGGAAAATAGTACAAGAATAAGCTCTGCGTTTTGTGTACCTGGTTTTGCTTTATATTAGACTTTATATTTGCTTTATATGTACCTGTATTATTTATATTGGAAATTGTCACAAAGTATGTAGTTGGGAACTCTATGCATGTGTTACTTTTCTTCACATTAGTTTTTTAAAATTCAGAGGAACTTCCATAGGTCACAAGGATATTCCATTCTTTTAAGATGTCTGTTGTTAAAGCTAAGAATGAATGAGTACTGTTAATCAGATTATGTTGGAAATTGCTTTAGTTCTAGCCAGTGCTGTAGCTCTGGCCAGCATGACAAAGTATTAGAACTGAAGAGGAACAAATTAGTTGGAGTTTAAACAACTTATTGTCCCAGTAGACATAGCACATTTAGTCTCTCTGAAGTGAGTGTCATTTTTCATTATTTGTCTGTATTTCACTGGAGCATTTCTTTAAAATATTTTACATTTGTTTATTGGATGCCTGTTTGTACAAGGCAGAGTGCTAGATAAAGCAACATGAACTGTTTTAAATTTATTAAATAAGATTTACTGAGCACCTATTTTACATAAAACTGGAGTACAGAACAATTTATTAGCAGGAGTTAAAGGTAAAAATGCCAAACTAGGATGAATTGGGGCTTATTTTTAAAAGGTTGATGCAGAAAGGATAATTTTAATTAGTGGCATTTGGAAGTGTACTTTTTCTTAACACTGTGGACACATATGCTCCTGATAATGCGTGGTTTATTCAGACAATGAATGCTGTGTTTTCAGTGGGAGGAGATGTAATGCATCCTGATATTCCCAATAACTTCCTGAGACTGCTAGCGGAAGGTGAGTAAACTATTGCATTTTATAAAGTAAAGATTTTAAAATTAAATGTTTTATTACAGAGTCCTTAGAGAATGTAGAAGAAATTAAAATGATGTGTCAACTTTTTTGTAGGTTTTGATGATGAAGCAGAAGATCAGCAATTAAGACTTTATGCAGTTCAGTCTTATCTCACTTTACTAGATGAGGAAAATGTGTTCTATCCACAGAGATTTCTTCAAGTTATGAGTTGGGTGAGCAAAGTACATTTAGTCATAAATGTTTATAACATTCTTTTTTATAAAACCAAATACAGTATATTTCCTTCAGAAATCATTCATTTCTGCTTGGCTAACTCCTTCAGCTGTCAATTTTTTCCCCAGTGACACAGCCTTCTATCACTTAGCTGTTTACTTGTCTGTTCACTCTCCCTGGCACCTCACTTGTCTAGACTTTTAAATATGCGTATTCGTTGTGTTTCCTTTGTGAATCTATATTTGAATGTGTGAATACTCATGTATTTGTGATTTACTAGTTAACAATTGCTGCAAAATGTTATCACAGACTTAATGCTTAAAACAACATAAATGTATTATCTCTCTGAGCCAGGAGTATAGGCATGTCTTAGCTGGGTTCTCTGGGTAGGGCCTCTTAGGGTTGCAGCCAGGTTTTTGGCTGGGGCTGTTGTCTTATCTGAAGCTTGACTGGTGAAGGATCTACTTCCGAGCTCAGAAATCAGTTTCTTTGGCTCTAAAACTGCAGGTTTGAGGTTCATATTGTCAAGGCTCCTTGAACTTCTTCATATTGTCAAAGCGCCTTTAATTTCTTGTTATGTGGGCCTTCCAACATGGCTGTTTGCTTCATCCAAGCCAGCAAGGGAGATCATGTGTTTGTAAGATGAAAGTCAAAATATTATGTACAGGTAATGTAATCACATGTAATCACATACATCCCATCACCTTTGTGTATTCTTTCTTGTGTATATGGGTGAGCCCTTCTTTATGGGGGAGATTTGGAGAAATGCAACTGCTGGATGATAGGATATGCACATTTTAATATTTCAAGTTTTGCCCAAACTTAGCATGTTAACTTAAATTTTACCCAGACTTTTATTTAAGAATAAATTTTAATTTTCTTATCTATGGGACAGTTGAAAGACTAGTATAACAAGTACCCCTGTACTTTTCTTCTAGATTCCCAGGTATTATTTTTGATCACCTTTGCCTTAATGTGTCAACACCTATATGTAGGTCTACTGTTATATACAGTTTGTTTTGCTAAGCGGTTCAGAATTGAGTTGCAGACATCATGACACTTTACCCCCCCAAAATTCAGCATGAATGTCATAAGAATGACATTGTTCTACGTAGTGATAAAACTAGTATTATATCTAAGAAGTATAACATTAATTTATTAATATCACATAGCATGCAGTTCATATTCAGATTTATTTAGTTGTCCAAAAAATATATCTTATGGCTGTTTTTCTACCCCTCTGATCCTAGATCCAGTCAGGATTTACAAATTGTATTTAGTTATGTCTTTTTAAAATGTTATAATGAGCCTCAGGGTTTGTTTTTTTTGTTTTGTTTTCATAACATTGATTTTTTTGGATCAATACTGTTGACTTATAGAATGTCCAGCATTTCTCAATGTGTCTGATTATTTGTGGTTCAAGTAAACATTGTTAGCTAGACTAGTACATCAGCAATATTATGTACTTCCCAGTACATCATATTAGGATGCATATAATTTCAGTTCCTCCAATTATTAGTGATTGGAAGTTTCTTTTTGGTCAAGATGTTGACCTTCAGATTCATCCATTTAAAGGTATGTTTTCTCCTTAGTAATTTATAACCTATCTGTAAAGTGATTCTGGGAAGCTGTGTGAATGTTTCTTCCTCAACTCTGTTTTAGCATTGATAATCCTTACCTAAATTGGTTATTGTATTTGGTGGCCTTTTTTTCCTCCATGAATGTGACATATCATTCCATATATTTGGAGTGTTTCTATTTATTTCTATAGCACACGAATCCTCTACATGTTTTGTTAGATTTATACCTAAGTACTTTATTTTCTTTAGAGCACATTTCTTTAATGTGTATATATATATATATATTTTAAAGATTTTATTTATTTATTTTTAGAGAGAGGGGAAGGGAGGGAGAGAGGGAGAGAAACATCAGTGCCTCTCTTGTGTCCCCTGCTGGGAACCTGTCTGAAATCCAGGCATGTGCCCTGACTGGGAATCGAATGGGTGACCCTTTGGTTTGCAGGCTGGCGCTCAATCTATTGAGCCATACCAGCCAGGGTATATTTTTAATATTGTCTTCTATATGTTTGTTGCTACTAGTATGTACAAATGTAACAGATTTTTATATTTTGGTCTTGTACCTGCAATCTTGCTGAAGTCACTTACTAATCTAGGATGGTTTTTGTAGATTTCTTCAAACCTTGTCAAGAATTTTTGCATCTCTGTTCAGGAGGGATGTAGGTCTGCAGTTTTCCTATTTTTCTACTCTACATGCTTGGTTTGGTATCAAGGGAATACTGGCTTCATAAAATGAGTTGAAGGTGTTCTTTCCTCTTCTGTTTTCTGGAAAGATTGTATAGAAGAGAGTTGTTTCATTTTTAAGTGTTTGGAAAATATCCTGTTATCTTTCCTGTTACTGATTTCTAGGTTGATTCTATTATTAGAGGAAATACTGTATGACTTCATTTCCTTTTAAATTGTTGAGGGTTGGCTCTGGCTGGTGTGCATCAGTGTATTCAGTGCCAGCTTGTGAACTGAAAGGTTGCCGGTTTGATGCCCAGTTAGAGCACATGCCTGAGTTGCAGGCCAGGTTCCCAGTTGGAGGCATGTGAGAGGCAACCAATTGATGTATCTCACACATTGATGCTCCTCTCCCTCTCCTCCTTCCTCCCTTCCCCTCTCTCTAAAAAGTAAATAAATAAAATATTTTAAAAAATAGTTGAGGTTTGTTTTACGATCTATGATATGGTCTGTGGGTTCTTAAAAAGAATGGGTGTTCTGCTGTTGTCGGATGGTGTGTTCTGTAAATGTTGATTAAATTCTTTTGGAGATGGCGTTGATACAAGGGTGTTGAGATTAACCATGTGACCTCCACTGACACTGTGAAGGGGTGGCCTTGTTGCTGAGCAGTGGTGAAAGTCATGACTCTCCACAGGCTTCCCCTGACAGCACCCTAGCAGGGAGGGGAAGGAACACCTCTTTACTCCAGGTGGAGGTGAAGTGCAGGCTTTCTGTGTGGTCTTCATGGACATTGCAGAAGAGTGGGCCTCTACAGCTGGCTGGGGGGTGAAAGTCGTGAACCTCCACTCGGCCTTCTTTGTCACCATCCTTGTGGGGGACTTGTGGTTCCTGTGGCAGGCTGGTAGGGTCGAAGTCTTGGCTCTCCACTCTGCCTTTGGGCTTGGGTAGGGCTGCAGTTTCTTCTATGTGGTGCTTGACTGGAGTGGAAGGGTTGTTGTCTGAAAGTCTTCTGTCTTCTTGGCTCTTTAGCTAAAGGGACAGGCTTTTCCTGGGACTTTTTTGTTTGAGCCTATTGGTATTTCCAGGTTGTTGGCTCTCCAGTACCTAGTCTGGGGTATATGAGGCAACAGATGACTCACTGTTTCTTAGGTCCCAAGGTCCTTAGCAATATGCCTTATTTTCTTCGCATTTCAGATTCTTTTTATGTGTGTTTTATATATAACATCAAGGGTTTTTAGGTGTGTTTAGTGGGAAGAATAGGAGAAAAATGCTTCTGCCATCTTCTCACACATACAAATCCACTGATTTTTGAACTGGAATTAAGGTAACCTGCTCTTCTAGAGAGATAACCACTTTTATTAAACCACTCACAAATTATCTTCCTACTTGGGGAGTTGAACTTAATGAGTCCTGTTTCTTTTTTGTCTTCCTCTTGTTACTAGCTGTACGTTTTCCCTTGACTGTCGCCTCACCTCCTTTTTTTTTCTTGTTGCTGCCATTATTACACCAAAGATATGAAAATACTTCATAAATACAACTTAGGAAATGTCTCACACTCCATTAATTGTGGTTTACTATGATTTTTAGACCAGTAGGATTATATATCACCTGGATGTTAGATGTGAGAAAAAGGACATGTGACGTATCAGTGATAGACCAGTGTTCCTTGAAGTTCATGGATCACCTCCCTCTGAATCAGCTGATGCTTGTTCAAAACGTATAATGTAGATCATTGCTAAACATACTAAATCCGAATATCTGTGGTTAAAGCCCAGACATCTTATTTTAACGAAACACTTCAGATGACTCTTATGTGTATTAGCATATGAGAACCACTCATTTAAATGCTTACTGGAAAATAATCACAGACTATGAAAGTGCTTGTAAAAATCAACACCCAAAACTGGAAGTTCAGAAGACAGCTAACCTGTAAAGGTGTCTGTTTTACATATTGTTAATGATAAAGATGTGGAAAACATTTTTGTATTGGTTCCAATTCTTCATATAATTTTGAACCTACAGTGTACAATTGTATCTTTACTCACTTCAGCAGTAGCCACTTTGTTTAGATGTCCCAGTATAGTTTACTGTGTAACTTGATATTTGTATGTAAACATCTCTCTGTTTTACTCGTAGGTATTAGGGGAGTATTCCTACCTCTCAGATAAGGAAACACCAGAGGAAGTTATAACCAAGCTGTACAAGTTACTTATGAATGACTCCATTTCTTCAGAAACAAAAGCCTGGTTATTTGCTGCTGTGACCAAGTTGACGCCTCAAGCACATTCATCTAACATTGTTGAGAGATTAATCCAGGAATTTACTGTGTCTTTGGATACTTGCTTGAGACAGCATGCATTTGAATTAAAGCATTTGCACGAGAATGTGGAATTTATGAAGAGCTTGCTTCCAGTTAATAAAAGTTGTGAAGACATGGTGGTAAGACATCTGCATTCCATCTTTTTACAAATTGCATAATCTTTAAACAGAATATATCAAAATACTGTTTCTGTAGCACTTAAGATGAAGATTGGAATTTTTCTCACGTTAGTGTGAAAGAGAATTTGAGAACTTCAGTTTAGTAGTGATTCTAAATAGTCAGGAATTGAAATGTATCTTTTCTGGAGAACTTCAGTGAAGGAATTTATAGTCTTTGACGATCTCTTAATATATAATAAATCAGAATTTTTATCTCCTTTGAACTTCTCTGTCATTTTATTATATTACTCTCTTTCTTTGAGAATGTGAAATATAGTTCTCCATTTTATTTTGTCCATCTGTTGTCTGAATTCTTCACTACTTTGGAACCTGAACACCCACGTTTCTTTCTTCCACCCCTCTTAACCCAAAACACTCAGTTACTACTCACTCTTTAAATTTGTACCAGTTTCTCCATCTGATTGATATAAATCAGAAAACTTCCAAAAGGAAACCGGATTTGCCCCAATTTTTATGTGTTAGATGTCATGTAGTTGACAAAGAAGAGAGGGTAGGCAGTATTCCCACTAATTCTGAATCAGATTTCATGACTTGTATTATTTTGAATCTTGATTCATTAGTTCTTACCATAGCTCCTTAAAGACAGAGGCCTTGCCTTAACATTTGGTAGACATTTCAGAGATGTTCATTGAAATGATGAATAAATATGCTACATATAAAATTAAACTATGAAATAGCTACACTTCCCATTTTTGCAGAGAATCTTGTTGAAACTAAACCTTTCCAAATTCAGAGTGTGACATGCCACTTAAATGTTTGAGAGTTACCTGCTGTTCTAAATTATCTGGGCTGTTTGTGTACATTTGGCTAAATCAGGAGTGGCAAGTCTCTGGTGTCTGAGGTCATCACTACTATGTCCTCCTGTCTATATCTCATTTTTCTTTCTCCTTACTTTTTCTCTTCTCCTTTTCCCCTTACTGATTCCTCATTTCTTCTTTTCTTCATTTAAATCATTCTCTTGTACTTTTCTATTCCTGCTGAAATTAAGTAAATTAAGTAATTTTCCATAGATTTGTGAAAAAGCATTTTCAGGTAGAAAAGAATTGAATAGTTAAAGATACTGTGGGACGCCAAATAATAGCTTCCCAAGAGGTCCACATCTCAATCCCTGGAACCTGTATGTATGTTACCTTACATGGTAAAAGGTACTTTGTGGGTGTGATTAAGTTAAAGATTTTGTGATGGAGATTATCCTATATTATCCAAGTGGGCATGAGATAATTGGAAGGGTCCTTAGAAAAGTGAGACAAGAGTTCAGTGAAGAGAAGGCAAAGTAGCAGTAGAAGCAGAGATCAGAGTGATGTGGCCATAAGCCAAGCATTGCTCAGAAGCTGGAAAAGACAGGAACTTACTCTCCCCTTGAGCCTCCAGAAGGAACTAGTGTCGTCAGCACCTTGTTTATATCCCCCAGCGGCAGGAAATTAATGCAGGTTATAGCTCATAGTGTATGTATCTTCTCCTCTGGGAGGTTACAAGTCTCATGAAGGCAGGAACTGTGGCTTCCTTCATCTCAGTCACAGGACCTAATTTGGTGCCCCAATATATTGGATGCTCAAAACATATTCCTCAATGCAGTGAAATTAATAACTACAAATGACTTTGCTGAGTGATTTGATTATAGATGTTTCAGAAAACTAGAAAGTTAGGTAGCACTTTTGGAATTGAAGTTCTTTTTTTCACCTAAAAATTGTTTTTAGGGTATATATGAGCTGAAAGTAGTTACATGAATGTATAGTCTACTGTTTAGGTTAATTTTTTTAATTCCTAATTTTTTCTTTAATTTGATATAGGTAGATGCTTCCTTATCTTTTCTGGATGGTTTTGTGGCTGAAGAACTCAGTCAGGGGGCAGCACCTTACAAACCTCACCACCAACGGCAGGAGGAAAAGCTTTCTCAGGAGAAAGGTAATCTTTTAGAAATTTATAAGCTAGATTAAAAGGACATCTTGTTTTATGCATGTAAGTAAATAATTGAAGATATTTACGGTTATTTTCCCTTCTTAAATCTGTTTGTGACTTGTTTACCCTGACTAGGCGCCGTGATAGAGGGCTGACAGACATTAGTGTGCACATATCTGTGACACAGTTCCAGAAAAAACTCAGGTTGCTGTGGACTAGTGCGTTTTCATTTTCATTATAAGCAGTCTTGTGTATCTTAAGTGTGTTAGAACACTTCCTACAACAAAATATCTGATTGGTGAAGTTCGGGACAGCTAAGAAAAGAAACAATAAAACTACATTTAAGTAATGTAGGCTGTCAGGGAAAGGTTTCTGTCATGATTTTAAAGAAGAGAAAGTTACTGCAATATTTGGATGGTGGATGAGAAGTATGCCTATGAATAACAGGAGACTATTCAGTGTTATCTGTATAGGAGTTCAGAATGTTAATACTGAAAAATTTAATGCTGAAAGGTCTTTTTTGCTTCTAGTCATCATTTAATGATTTTGTTGAGTACTGAATAGTTTCCAGGCTCTGTGCTAGGCATATGAGTACAACTAAATGGCTGATCCTAAAATGAGACCAAGAAGTATAAACACTAATAGTAGATTTGATGTTATCTTTTTGTAGGAGTATTTGCTCTTTTAAAGTTATTGACATATTATTTATCACAGTGATACCAAATGGCCTAGAAAATTCAATTTTCTTTCGAAGGATAATCAGTTTCCTTCCCATTAACTCGTCATATTAATTAATGTTTTATTTTTCCATATGAACAACTATAAACCTCTTTCCCCCACTCTGTATTGATAAAATATGTGAGGGGAAAAATAAAGTTTTGAACTTTACAATTGCCCAACCTATGACTCTAGTGCACATAGAGGCCTTACGATATCCAGAGTGAAAATGCGGAGTTCCAGAGTGGGAGACATGGTCCAGCTTCTGTATTCCTTATTTTCAGTATGGCTGGGACCATCAGTTGTTATTACTGCTACTCAAGGGTGGGGTAGGGAAGGGGAGGTAGGACATGGAGCCTAATTCCCGGCACTGCCTGTCTCCTTTCTTAAAATAAGTTAAGTGGCTAAGTAAATATAATAGATAGTCCTGGAATTCCCCAGCTAATGTATTCCTTTGCCAAGTACTCTTTTCCCCATAGAACCATCATTATAAATGGGGTTAAGCTCTCAAATTAGTCTCCTCCCCTCTCTTCCCAAATCTATTTTTTGAAAGTTCTCTAAAGTAAAAATTTAAAATTTCATGAGCTTAGACTTTCTGTTACATCATGGAAAAAGAAAGGAGACAGGACATAACAAGTGCTTAATAAATACTAGAGGAATAAGTTATAAAATTACATATCTTACAGTTGGATGGCTATAAGACAGAAAATAAAGAGTTGGGGGAAAATAGGTATTTTTGACCTAAAAAGTTGTTAATTCTAGAATCCTTCAAGTATCAATCATTTCTGGTACTGATCTTACTTGATATTTTTATAAGGCATTTGCAGAGAGTAGTAGTTAATTGTCACTTTTATGAATGATACTTAGCTCTCTTGGGTAGAAAAATGCCAAGTTCATAAGAAACCAAGTTTATAATAAACTTCAGGCAACTATTGTAAGACACTAAGAATTGGCAAAAAACAGATGGGATGGTAGGGAACAAACTTTTATTACCAGTTTCCACCCAAGGAAAGCATTTAGGAATCATTGTGGATTATTCTGTTAAGACAGTATTCAAATATGTTGTATTTGAATATGTCGTAGTCCCAGTGTTAGATAAAACCAGAAATAGCAAGGGGAAATAGTAGTATGATCTCCTGTGTACAGAACTATGGCTTTTGGAAAACCAGATTAAGTTAAAATTGTTAGTCTCTCTCAAAAAAAATTAGCACCTGGGCATAACCAGAGAAGTAGTGCCAAATGATTGAGTGTAAAGGAACTGCAGTAAGATAAAGAAGGAGTGTTGAGATAGTAACTTTTGGGGGGTGATCTCTTTGTAGTGTATACCGATGTTAACTTATAACATTGTACCCCTGAAACTTACATAAAAAAACTCTAAAAGGAGTAAAAGTACAATCAAGGCCTCTAAAGTCATGAAGTATACAGATTAAATATTGAATTTCTTACTTAGCCTGGGATAGTTTGTATTTTATCTTTCACCTGGGTTACTTTCTATAACTTGTGATTCCCAAGGACTCTCACTGCCTTCAGCACATGCCTTCTCTTCTGCATGAATTGCCCTTTATTTCTAGTGAACACCTAAAAATCTTTGGCCCTTCTCATCATTCGTTTCTGTAAGGATCTTGGGAAATTTTCACTAAAGAATAAAAATAATGTGGTTTGAACTTAATTCTAAACCTTGAAACTTTCTAGGCTTTCCATAGATGACAGTCTTTAATTTTCTGACATAGGATCAGAATTTTATGTGACTATTCTCCAGATACTGTCCTCTCCCATGTCTAGTATTTTTCTCTGTTCTCTCAAACTCTCACCTCTAATTTTGAATTCTTTTTGTTCTTTACTTAAACTGCCATGCTTACTTACTCTTTGGCTTAAACTCTGTTTTGTGCACAGGAAACATTTTCTGAACTATTCACTTTTATGGGAAATGTTAATGCAGAGGCTGGATGACCCACTGTTGCAGAGGCTATTAAAAAGAGGCCAGTGTAGGATAGGAGGTTAAACTAGGTTACTGAAATGCTTAAAATGAAAGGAGATTTTAGGTGAAAAGGACCTTAGAAAGATTTGGACAGGTGGTTTCCAAATGTGATTGTGAGTTGTAATCACAAAGGGAGTTTTAAAATAATGATACAGTGTTTTGAGCCCCATTCCTACAACTTCTGTATCTAAATCTCTGAAAGCTTCTCCGTATGTACAAAAAGGTCCATGGGTAATCTGTGAAGTCAGCTTGATTCTGGCTATCAAACCAGCATTTGGAAACTGCTAACCTAGTCTGAACTCTTCAAAGAAATTAGGTCTAATTCATTCACCTAGTTAACACCTGACCTACATCAAGAACTCAGTTCTTCTGATTACTAATCAGCCCATTACTTTTTTCTATTACACATTGATTCCTCTTCTATATCATTCATTTAGCTCACACAGACTCCTATTTAGTGCTCTTCAGATTAGGTGCTGTTTCTTTGGAGGAGGCAGTATAATACAGTAGTTGAGAGTGAAGTTCTGGAACCAGAGTGTCTGATTTCTTTTCTGTATGTATTATTTCCTGTCCTTGTAATCTTGGGTAAGTTTGTGGCAAACTCTATACCAAAGTTTCTTCATTTGTAAAATGAGGATAATAGTTACCAGAAGTTCGTATTTGTATATTCTAAGGTACATTTTATGTTTTAAGAAGGGCCTTTATATTATAATCCAGACAAATCAAAAAGATATATATGCCAGTTAGGTTTAGGTTTATTTAGCTAAACATATTAGAAAACAAAAACCCACAGTGGGACCTTATGCAAAGCAGAAGGTTATTATTACTCTTTTCCATTAAAGATATTCTTAAGTATACAGCCTAGGATTGATGTGACTTCCTAAATATATAAGAGGAAGGGAGAAAAGGAAGATTTCTTTTTTTTTTTTTCCCCCAGGAGGATTCCTCCCAGAGGTTGCTCACAAAATGTGTGTGTAATTTCATTGGTCAGAACTCAAGTCAGATGATAAAGAAGTCTGGAAATGTCATCTCTTTTCTGGGTGGCCTTGTACCTAGCTAAGAATCTAAGGTTCTGTAACTTAGAAAGAACAGAATGTGGTTCTGTTCTACCACAATAGCAGTATAAGTTTTCATGGCTCTGATTGACTTCATTTGGGTATACAGCTCCATGGAATCTGAACTTGGGTAAACCTTGTTCTTCATCAGTAAGGGAGATTGCACATTGAGGGCTATGTCTGCCCATTTGGTACAGGATTGTGCCATTTCATTAAGCAAAAATGAGGTCATCTCTTCATTCATAGCTTCTTAAGCATTTTTGCATGAGAGCAGCAACTTTTCAATAGATCTGGTTTATTAGTTATCTTTCCTAATTCAATTCTGTTTTAGCTTCTAAGGGAGGTAAAATAAAAATGAAGGTCTGTCTTTGGTCAACTAATGGTATGAAGTAGAATTAAATAAATCATAGCTGTTTTATTACTATTAATATAAATACCTGGTTAGATTGTCTCTCAAGTCCTTTCTATTTTAAAAATTGTCACTGGATTCTCATCTTCAGTTATTTTAGTAATGAATGGTAACTTTGATAATTTTTGCTTTTTAAAAACTAGTTTTTGCTTTGTTTTAAATATGAGCCTCTGTTATTGTTTTAAAATTCTAGTTCTCAATTTTGAACCATATGGACTCTCCTTTTCTTCATCTGGCTTTACTGGACGACAGTCTCCTGCTGGCATTTCTCTGGGTTCAGATATATCTGGAAATAGCGCTGAGACAGGGCTGAAAGAGTAAGTGCCTGTTTATTAAACTTGAGAATATGGAAGCATTTAAATGTCTTTAAATATAGAAGAGTTCCTGAAAGCTGAATTTCGTATGGGTTGTTGTTTTAGTTGTTTTTATTTACTGCTGTCAAAGTGTTGATGCTGTACAGTATGTCCCTATACTTGAGGAGAGCTTGCTTATTTCCAAGAGAGCATAGAATGTATACAGGCTTTACACATAGTAGTGATGTGTGTGTTATTATTACATATTATATGTATGTGTGTGTATACATAAATATATATGTGTGTAAGTGTATGTGTGTGTGTGTGCATTTTAAAGAAGTTTATCAAACCTATATACCCAGGTGAGTTTTGAGCATATAATTCTATATTTCTCATAATCTATTTTTGTATAACCTTCTCATTGGAAGATTGACAGATGTTGAGATGAACATAAAATAAGGTGGTTGACTTCACTTGAGGAAGTTGTGTACTTTACTCAAAATGCTTTTAGAGCTTCTTTCTAACCACCTTGAAAATGGGTGATATATGTCTAAATGTCTTATATGTAGCCAAACCTTCACCCTTTTAAAGTAGATTTTCACTTTGGAAATACAAATAAATAACTTTCAGAAGAAACATGGTTAAGTTAATAAAACAAGATGATTATGCAAAATCCCGCATACAGTCAAGTACATAATGATTGATAAATGGTAGCTGTTATTATTGTCATTGCCAAAAAAAAAAGTCATTGCCATCATTATCATCATTATCCAAAAACTGAGTTTTTCAAATAAAATTTCTGGTCAATCTGGCTGACTTTGGCTGGTATCCTTTTATGATATACAGTAATGAAAATGGCTTCCTTATTTGTGTAGGAGCGTCTTCTAAAAAGAGTTCAGGTGTTTTGAGTAATGGCAGCATTGTCAGAATAAATGTGATAAAATCTCAAAGGTGATAACTTTAAAGGATGACATTTGAATTTTGAGTTTTCATATCTTCATTAAGAAATCAATTACCTTATTTTATGTTCATCTTGGTATTTGTTGGTCTTCCAGGGAGATGGTTATAATAAGTATTTCTTGGAAGAAAGACACACAGATTATGAGGAATATAGGATATATGCTGAATGAAGTGGCATAAGTTCAAATTCTCTTTCTTAGCCTTTTTTTCCTAGCTTTGTGGATACCGAGACATTTAATTTTGGTATTCTAAGCATGGGAGATAGATCTGGTTTGTAGGCATGTGATAGTGGAGATGAAAGCTATTAAGTGCCTCAAATAGGGAATTGAGGGGCAAGGGAAGGAGAGACAGGAATCCTCCAAACCCAAGGAGGAAACCCAGTCCTTTTCACAGCAATGGACAGCATCTGCTCTTTAGTATTGAACTAGGAACGGGGGACTTGACAGGGCCTTGTACATTTTATACACATGCGTGTGCTACCCTCAGAGAAATGACATTTGGCAAAGCAGTTAAGGAGTTACACATATGCTGTATTACCATAAAATGGAACACAAGGGCTGAATTTAGAATGCTTTCCCAAAGAGGACCACAGCTCACACATTATTTTAGATTAGGAACCTATGTGGTAATTGGCAAGGTGAATCAGCTTTACAGAGGAGATAGTCACTCTTCTGTAGTCTCTGCCAAGCTGATAATAAGGCAGTGGTCAGCCCAATTTAGAATTACTCACCTTAAGCCCTACTACAGGCAGCACGCTACCTCATATGGGAATTTCTAGAGCTGAGTTAAAATATATCCCCAATCTTTTGAAGGTTGCTTGGCCAGAATTTACTTGTTTGAATGGCCTAATTCTAAATAATACAAAGGTATACCATATAAAACCACAAATTGTATTTTTATTATTGTCAAAATCTATATAAAGATGACTCGTTTAAAAAATTCTTTTACAATATGTTTCATATCATATTTTATATGTGAAGGTCTTACGCTGCTCTCTCATCTATTTTCCTGTTTTTTAGACTGTCTGTATATAATGTATGACGGGAGATTTATGTTGCTAATAGACATGTTATACAGATGAAATTAGCCATAAAAACCTTTAAAATAGCTCAAGGCTACTTTCAGGTTTATTTTCCTCCCCCTTCCCCATTTTGCTTATTGTTGTGGGTTGGGTTTCCTGAGAAGCACACAGTATGATGGAATTTAGCATGTAGAATAGTAAGGAGTGCCCTTGGCATTAATAAAGAGGCAGGTTTGGATAGAGGAAGAAGTTAATATGCAATGTAGTGCCAGCGGCAGCTTTTACTGAGTCCGTGGGGAGTTACTGAGTCCGTGGGGAGAATGGCCCTTCCGAGTTGTACTGAGTTGGGCCAAAATGGGTGGACAAGACTCTGTTCTTCTGTTCATTGGTCACTGCATGTAGGCTGCCCCCAGAAAGGACATTCTCTTTGGTGAGGTGACCCTCTGCCTCTAAGGTAGCCCCTGAGTGGGTTGCACTGCCAACAGTGGGGACTGGAAAGTCCTTCACTGAAATCATGGAAATCTGGATGAAGCATCCTAGTGTCCAACACACCAGCTTTTTTGTTGGTGTTAAACTAATATTTGAATCATTTATTAGTAAAACTTGCGGACTTGCTTTTTAAAAAAAATCATTAAAGGGTATGTCTTGGTAAATGGGGTTATAGAAACATCATTCCGCTGTGGACATTCATGAATCCATTTGAACTGCTGCTGTTGAGCAGCATCCTAGCGATGTTAGGGGTCACTAGTGGCTCCCATGACCACTTTTGGATCTGCTCATGCAGGAACAGTCTGTTTTCTTCTAACAGGTTGATAGATACGTTTTTTTTTTAAACAACTTTTTAGAAAACTCTTTGGTACCTGAAAGAAAAGAAGAAATGAAGATATTTGTAAAGGACCATTTAGCAGCAAAATTTATTGAGGAGCAATGGACTAATTCTCTGTAGGTCATTCTTTATTAATGTTCAGATTTTCTTTCAGCCAATCAGTACTTAATAGCATTAGTTCTTTACTCAGTATGAAGTATGACTACCCAATTTTGTTTCTGGCACAGTACAGAAAATCAAATGGATCATGATTCTAACAAAGTAAAAGGGAATAATAATCAGTACAAACATTTCTGAGCCTTTCTTTTAGATTCATTTCATGATCTGCCTATCTTGTAGGACAAATTTTTTAAATGCTATTTTGGACCATGACAGGGCTACTTAACTGAGCCAAGTGCCAAGGACACATAGTTCTCACATAAACACAGTGGAGGCAATCTTCAGCTGTTTCGGCCAACTCTTAGGGTTATGTTAGACACTCCAGATTCATAGCGGTAACTTTTGGGTGAGTCCAAACTCTAATCACTACTTTAAGTCTTCTTTACCTCAGGTATAAAACCCTCCCAATCCTTCATGCTTTTCCCAGAAATCTTACTTTTTTCTTTTATAGATCAAACCTCACTTCATTTTTATGAAAGTACATTATAATAGTTGAACATGTAGCTAGTGTTCATATTAAGAAAACCTTTTGCATTAAAGATAAGTTTACACATTGGAGTAGATAGGAATTTTTTTGTTGTTGTTTGTTTTTTGCTTTCAACCGGATTTTATTTATTGAATTTATGTAGGGTTAATTCTTTCATTGAATGATTATAGCTTAGAAACGTAAGAGTCATGTCTCATCTTTAACTCATCAGAATTAAAGATATTTTTGAGAAGTCAGTGGGGTAAAGGAACTGATTTACAGTTCTGTTTTTGGATAACTTATTTAAGCAATTAAATGAAGATTGATCTGAAATTTAAACTAATTCTAGAGTTTTGTTGCCTTAAGTCCTTTGGCAGAAGGGTAGGGGGAGGTTGGCTGTAACTAAAATAAAATCTAGAGATCTAGGTTTTACTTCTGGCATGTGGAATACAATATAAAAGCTGTTTCTTAAAGGCCATGGCATCATGTGTTTTTTTAAATGCCCCAAGAAAGTCATTACTTAGCAATTATTTAATTTGACTTAATTTCAATATCAATCTCCTTAGGACAAATAGCTTGAAGCTGGAAGGTATAAAGAAATTGTGGGGGAAAGAAGGCTATCTTCCCAAGAAGGAGAGCAAAACTAGTGATGAAACTGAAGTTCTGCCTGTTCCTCAAGAGAGTATAATAATGGAGAATGTAGATCAAACTATAACCAAAAAGGACCAGTCTCAAGTCCTTACCCAGTCGAAAGAGGAGAAAGAAAAGCAGCTGCTGGCATCGTCATTATTTGTTGGGCTAGGATCAGAAAGTACAGTCAATTTGGTAAGTAGCCAGTTATATTCCTCTGAGAATCTGTGTCTCCTGTTTTGTACATAAAAACCTGGCTCTATAAAAACTGTTGGCCATCCATCTGTGTACATGGTGGGAGATGGCTTTCCCAGCTCCAGACCCACCAATGACACACCTGTATTTTCCTGAAAGAAAAAATCTAATTGGCTTAGCTTGAGTCAGGTGGTCTCTCTAGTCTGTCTAGTCAGCTAGGGCAAGGGTCAGGGCCCAAAGAAAGGTACAAATATAACCAGGGGTATTCTCAGTGGAGTGGGTGGAAGGCAGTTGTGGTGGGGCACAGGGGGGATGGGGATGGGGGAGGGTACCCGATGGAAACACTTTCAGTAATAATAGTTCCACAATACTGATTTGTCTGTGGAAAAAGTGTTTCTGAAAATGGTGTTTTTAATAGTGAAAAATAGGAATCAATTTAGGTGACTAACAGGAGAATGGGTACATAAATTATATTAGCTCAGAATATTACTCAGCCATCAAAAAGGATAAATACTGCATTGTAAATTAAAAAATGCTTATGATAAAAACAGTAGATAAGATTTTATTTACATCTTGCCTATAACTTAAGAAGATAGAAGTGTTTTGAGACTGAAATTACACAAAAATAATAACTACTTTCAGGCATTATGATTATGATTTTCAAAGGTTTTCATGTTAATATGTTATTCTCAGAGTAAAAGAATAAAAAATTGTAGTGAAGGACAGTCACTATTTTTGAACATCTGAGAATTCCATGTGATTTTCCATTTGGTAACCTGATAAACCTACCTAGTGCAAAACTGTGATTAGAGATACATTTTCTTCAGTTTAACTTCAGAACCGGGGCCTACCTCTTTCATCCTTCTTTCTTGGTGGAATTTTCTCTCCATCCCTGTCAGCACTAGGCCAGACCATAGGCTGCACTGTTTGCCTGTGTTTCTCTTTTTCCAGATCCCATTTCTGTCAGACTTGGTATTCATCCCCTCCTAAGAAAAAACAAATTGAGCTTAAAAGTATTACTAAGCGATGTATCATAATGCTGTCTCACTCAGCATTTGCAGTTCAACAGCAGATTTGGGGCCTTTGAGTTGTTCCTGCAGGCCGTGGTGAGGGGACCAGTGAATGCTCCGACGCTGATGGGGCATGTTCTCAGAGTGCACCCCGATCAGATTGCATCGAGGTCACAGCACTCCCAGGCTTATGTAGGTCCCTGCTTTGTGAACCTCCTTGCTGGTGTTGAAGGGTTCCTGCCTGTTCCACAAGTGCACCGAGTTAGAGACTGTCTCAGCAGAACATTCAGGCCAGCAGACTAATTATCACACTTTTTTGTGGTGGGCTTGAAATCAGAAATGTACGTAATTAGAATGTTTTTCTATTTGAATTATGCTAAATTCTTTTCTGGGTTACACCTTACATGTTTCCCCTCAGCAATCACTAGAATAGTTTTTTTTTGTTTGTTTTTGTTTTTTAAAATATCAGTCTTCTTTTCTTTCCTTTCTTTTTTTTTTTTTTTAAAGATTTCATTTATTTACTTTTAGAGAGGGAAGGGAGGGAGAGAGAGAGAAACATCAATGTGCGGTTGCTGGGGGTCATGGCTTGCAACCCAAGCATGTACCCTGCCTGGGAATCAAACCTGCGACACTTTGGTTCACAGCCCGCGCTCAATCCACTGAGCTGTGCCAGCCAGGGGAGAGAATAGTTTTTTTCAAAGGAGGTTATTTCCCTGTTTTATGGAACCCTGAATCTGTGAGGAACTTTGCTGTAACTCAGATGGCATGCAGAAAGGGGGGAAGGTAAATGATCACAAAACTAGCATGTATCGTCTAATTCCTCAACCCCAACATTTCGTCTCTCTCTCGGGTGAAGCAGACAGTGTTTCAGCTCTTACTGGATATAATCCGTCTGTATCGTGACTCCTTTAAAAAATTAATTTATTGGGGTGACATTGGTTAATAAAATTATATAGGTTTCAAGTGTGCAATTCTATAATATGTCATCTGTATATTATATTGTGTCTTCACCACCCAAAATCAGGTCTCCTGTCACCATTTATTCCCTTTACCTTTTTCTACTCCCACACCTGTCTTTCCCTCTTGCAGTCACCATCCTGTTGTCTGTGTGTTTATTTATTTATTTTTTGTTTAATCCCTTCACCTTTTTTACCCAGTGCTCCAACCTCCACCCCTCTGACAGCTATCAGTCTGTTCTCTGTGTCTATGAGTCTGTTTGTATTTGGTAGTTTATTTTGTTCATTAGGTTTCACATAGAAGTACAGTTGTATGGTACTTTTCTTTCTCTGACTGGCTTATTTCACTTAGTACAATACTCTCTAGGTCTATCCATGCTATCGCAAAAGTTAAGCTTTCCTTCCTTTTTTATAGCTGAGTAATATTCCATTGTGTAACTGTACCACTGCTTTTTTACCTACTCATCTGCTGATGAGCGCTTGGGTTGCTTCCAAATCTTGGCTATTGTGAATAATGCTGCAGTGAACATAGGGTGCATATATTCTTTCAAATTAGTGTTTTGGGTTTCTTCAGGTATATTCCCAGAAGTGGGATCAGTGGGTCAAAAGGCTGTTTCATTTCTCAGTTTTTTGAGGAATCTCCATACTGTTTTTTATAGTGGCTGCGCCAATCTGCATTCCCACACCCTGGCCAACACTTGTTTATTGATGTATTTAGGGTAGCCATTCTGATAGGTGAGAGGTAATATCTTATTGTGGTTTTAATTTTTGTTTCTCTGGATGGCTGCTTTTCTCTACCAATCCTATTCCCTTCCAATTTTTCTAATGTTAAAATTCTCAGTTACATTGATCAAGGGCTGTATTGATGTATTTCACTTTAACTAGTTTTTATTTTTAGGTATGTGGTTCACTCTTAGTTAAAATTTTTTACATAGTTCACTCCAAGGGTCAAGGGTTTTCTTTCCCCCACCTTTGCCTTTTTTTCCACCTTCATTGGTGAAAGACATTTTCTCGTGCTGGCTGGTGTAGCTCAGTAGATTGAGTGCTGGCCCGCAAACCAAAAGGTTGCTGGTTCATTCCCAGTCAGGACACATGCCTGGATTGCAAGCCAGGTCCCCACTGGGGGCATGCGAGAGGCAACCAATCAGCATTTCTTTTTCACATTGATGTTTCTTTCCCTCTCTTTTTCCCTCCCTCCATCTCTCTCTGAAAATAAATAAATAAAATCTTTAAAAAAATTTAGAAAATGAAAGACATTTTCTCTGGGTAATGAGTTCTAGAATGACTTTCTTTTATTTAAGTAATTTAACGAAGATGTCACTGCACTGTCTTCTGCCTTGTGTAGCCTCTGATTAACAGCATATTGGTGCAGAAGAAAATATTAAACTTGAAGACAAAGTAATATAAACTATCCAAAATGAAACACAGAAACAGAAAGAAAAGATAAAGCAAACGAAGAAACCAAGAGCATCAGTGACCTGAGGAGTGATATTGAGCAGTCCCATATACGTTAGTCTCCCCTTGCCCGTGGGGGATGTGTTCCCAGACCCCCAGCAGATGCCTGAAACTGGGGATAGAGCTGAACCTTATGTGTACTGTGTTTTTTCCTATACATACATACCTATGATAAAGTTTAATTTATAAACTAGGCACAGGTAAGAGATTTAACAACAATAAGTAATAACAAGAGAGAACCGTTATAACAGTATACTATAATAAAAGTTGTTTGAAGGTGGTCTCTGTCAGAATATCCTGTTGTGCTGTATTCACCCTTCCTGTGGTGATGTGAGATGAAAAATGCCAGACCATCCCTTGCTTGCAGTAGATGGCTTGGTATCACTCATTTCAGGGGACCCCTTGCTGAAGTTGTCGTATAGGCTCAATGCTTTCTGGTGCAACATGCTGCCATCATTTAAAACACATTTCCATGTCTTCCAGCCTCAAATTTAATACCTTTTCTCTTAACTAAGTACTTATCACTGACTATAGCTATAACTTTTGCAATTTGAGTTGCTACAGTGAAACTAGCACAAATTTCTTTTTCCTTCCTTGGATAGAAGATTTGTTCTTAGCAACCTCAGCATATGATTTTTTTCATTCCTTATTAAGTTGAGAACTTTCACCTTTTCACTTAAACTAAGCACTTTACTGCCTCTCTTTGGCATATTTGAATTGCCAGCATCACTACTTTTGTTTTGGGGCAATTGTTAAATAAAATATGGGTTACCTAAAATATGAGTACAAGCACTGCACTGTAGAGACAGGTGGTCTGATAACCCAGACGGGCTACTGAGTGACTAATGGCTGGGTGTCGTATACAGAGTGGATATGCTGGAAAAAGGGATGATGCACCTCCTGGGGTGTACGGAGTGGGACAGTGAGGGATTTTTTCACACTATTCCAAATGGTGTGTAGTTTAAAATTTATGAGTTGTTTATTTCTGGAATTTTTCATTTAATATTTTTGGACTGGGGTTGACTGGGTAGCTGAAACTGCAGGTAACTGAAACCATGGAAAACAAGGGGGGAGTACTGTGTGTCTAATTCAAGTCCCACAGCTGCTGGGGTGGAGGTCCTTCCCCCACCCTCCCTTACTTGTTTTTGTGTTAAAACAATGCTCTTGTTTGATGACTTCTGACTGGAAAGGTGGGAGACAAACTTATCTGCTGAGAGTTGGAAGAGATGTTGGGACTTGAGAGAATGAGGTGTGAAAAGGGAGCTAGAATTCTGTTAACCAGAATTATGTGAAGGATGGCTACATTGTGTTAGAGCCCCCTAGGAGGATGGCGGCATCGACTCGGACTTAGAATAGTGCCAATCTGCTCTACTGATTTTAGATAGAATTTTGAGAGGCAAGGGGACACTTATCTCTTCCTACATAGATTTACAGACCTTTCATCAGGAGGATTAGCTCAAGGATGGAAAACTTACTGTTCCTGTCTCTTGAGTTTGTAGCAAACATCACTGGTCACTTAGAGCTTCTTTCCTCTGTGTGTTCCAGTCAGCCATTGCCAGCTGATTCTGGAGGTCAAATCAGTTTGTCTTCCCTGCTTTTTTACTCACAGGCCATGATATCATGATTATTATAGAGTACTGAATCAGAATTTGAGCCATCCCTGTGTTTTAGGATATCCTACGTTCTATATGACAACTCTGGGAACTCAAAAAATAGCTAGGTTTTTCACTGTTTTTGGTTTGTGCAGTTCTGTACTATAGTATTCTGATATTAACCAGTTTTTAGAATTTTTCATAATTAACTTCTTTTTTAAGAGAAAGAGGAAAGGAGGTGGGGAAGAGAGAGAGACAGAGACAGAGAAAGAGAAATATTGATTTGTTGTTCCACTTACTTATGTATTAATTGGTTGATTCATGTATGTGCCCTGACTGGAAGATCAAACCCACAATTTTGGAGTATCGGGAAGATGCTTTAACCAACTGAGCTACCTTGCCAGGGCCACAGTTGACTTTTTAAATGTTATTTCTTTTTCTGATTTTATGTGTTTTTAATGAGAAATAAAATTTAGCTAATAGTTCAAAGTTACATAGCTGTCAGAATTTCAGGACTTAAATTTTATTCATCTCTGATTCTTTTTAAATCTGTGCTTTATAGATCAAGTTAGTAAATTGCTCATTTAAAATTATAGAAAGACATTTAAAACTCATGACTAGAAGAATTGTTTCTTTTTCTATTATTATGATGTTTTATTTTCCAGCTAGGAAAAGCAGATACCATCTCTCACAAGTTCAGAAGGAAATCAAAAGTTAAGGAAACCAAAAGTGGAGAAACAACCAGTGTTCATAATATGACCTGTTCTTCCTTTAGTTCTTCATCAAATGTGACTTATGAAGAAGATTATTATTTGGATAATTTGCAGGATACAGAAGATAAAGAACTAAAGAAATTTACCCTTAGTTCAGAACTTTTGGATTCTGAATCACTCACAGAACTGCCTTTGGTTGAGAAACTCTCAAATTGCAGGCTGTCTACACCTTCTTTGTTTGCTGACAACAACATGGAAGTTTTTCACCCTCCTCAATCCACTGCAGCCTCAGTTGCCAATGAAATCTCCCTAGCTTCTTTGTTGGAAGAAACTACTGAACACACACATTCAGATCTTATGGAGGTCTGTAATAATGAGACCATATCAGTGTCTTCTTACAAAATTTGGAAAGATGATTGTTTATTGATGGCGTGGTTAGTTTCCAATAAGAGTGGTGCAGAATTGAAAAGTACTAACTTAGAAATTGCTCCTGCAAAAAATTTCAAGGTAAGACAATGAATGGTTCATTATTTCTGCCTTAATGTACAGTGCTTACTTGGTGTTTCTGCTGTTGGCTCTTCTGATGGTTTATACTTTTCTTTCACCTTTAGCAAAAAAAGTAAAAGATATGTCAGGTTTTTGATTATTTTGAGTAGAAGTGAATTATTCAAAGGGGACAAGGAAATGTAATAAAGATTGTACTGGGAAAGGCCATGAATACAGGGTGGGGCAAAAGTAGTTTACAGTTGTGAGTACACAAAACAGAGTTTATTCTTGTATTATTAGGTATTAATTATTGTATTATTTTTCATACAAACAACTGTAAACCTACTTTTGCCCCACCCTGAATAAAGTGAGTTTCGATAGAGCACAGTAGCTAGAATGTAGACATTTGAGTCCGACTGCTTGGCTTTGAATCTTGCTTCTGCTGCTTATTAGCTGTGTTACATGGTCAAGTTACACACCTGCCTTGTGCCTCAGTTTCCTCACATTTAAAGTGAAGATATTAATAGTGTGTGCCTTTTCATTATGCTGAGTGCTCAGGCATCAGTTGCTTCTGCCTTAGCTCTAAGAGACTGCCATTGTGATTTCTGGAAATATGCCAGTTGCATTATTGTACGGCTGTCCTTGATGGAGCTATCATATCAATATGCCACAAAACTGACTCAGTTTCTATTACCAACTCAAATGTGTTGAATGTGATATTACCTGGGCCAGACCAGGGCAGAAGTTCCAGACTCTAGATGTGCATTAGAATCACCTGTGGAACTTAAAAACACAACAAAACCCAGTTCAGTTGCCTGAGATCTACCACCAGATCTTAAGGGTAGAGAATGAGAAAGGAAGACACCTGTATATATCTATTTTTTAATTCTCCTTGCTTTAAAAATCTGGTGCTAGCCAGGACTGAGAGCCACAAGACTAGAGTTTAATAATCTCTTTTGTAAAAAATTATACAGTTTTTCATTGTAGTGACATTTATTACATATTTTTAACCTATGTACTATTATTTCTTCATTATCTGTGCTAGTGAATTTTTCTCCAGCGAAGTTGTCAGTCATCTTCATAATGGAGTTTATTATTATCACATCACAATACTATGCTTTTATACCATTTCAGGTAAATAGAAAATTGGTATTCATGTGATAGTCTGTATTGATCCCTTCTTCAGTACTTTCTGTTGCTTTTATTTACAGATCACTGAGCAATCTGAGTGCTGCTTGCCTGTCGTAGAAGCAGAGAACACCAAAAACTTCCAATATAGTGTGCAGATGGAAGAACCTTTTACAGAAGGGAATCTTTCTGGTTCTGTAAATTATCAAATGATGGATACTCACGTTGTTCAGCTCGACTTTTCAGTAAATTTATCACTGTTAGATTTCATTAGGTAAATATTTTCTGGAATGCTAATTCAGGTTATTCATTCATTCAGCAAATATTTATTGGGCCTATTTTCTGGACAGTACTACTAGGTGCTGCGGAGTATAGCAGCTCACAACTTGACACAGCCCTATTTTTAGGGAGGGGACATTGAACAATTGTATAAATGCATGCATAATTGTGAATTGTGCTTTAAAGAGAAAATAAATGGTACAATGTTTGATTATAATATGAGACCCGATTTAGCTTGGGGTTGAGATTAAAGTAGTGTTTAAACAGAAATAACTTTAAAGATTCTGCATGACTTTATTATTTTTTTATTATTTTTTTTTAAACATGCCTCTTTTTTTAGATTTTATTTATTTATTTTTAGAGAGAGGGGAAGGGAGGGAGAAAGAAAGGGAGAGAAACATTAGTGTGTGGTTGCCCACAGCCCAGGCCTGTGCCCTCACTGGGAGTTGAACCAGCGACCTTTTGGTTCACAGACCACGCTCAATCCATTGAGCTACACCAGTCAGGGCTTGCATGACTTTTTAAAAAACTTTTAAGATTTCTTTCATTTGTATTTCATTTATTTCATTAATTCTTTCATAAAATCTGTTTATTAAAGCTTTAGAGACCTGCAAGAAAATTATTCAACAAAGTTATTTAACTTTCCTTAGACATATAGTATTTAGCATTATACTAGGCACTGCACAGTGTTACCGAATAATTGAAAACAACCTCTTACCTCTCATTTTGTATAATGAATGTACTGGACTGTAGTCAAACTTTTTTAAAAAATGAAGGCTGCTTGAACCAATAATGTAGATATACCAGTTATCTGTAAAATTTTTTAAATTGTCACAAATCTACTTGTGTTACACTACTGCAATTTTTGTCTGCTCTTTAACGTTTTTTAGTAAGAACATGTCAATTAATCTGTCATAAAGTATTTATACCCATGTTGCTGTATAAAATGTTCTTTGACTAGGAGGTGTCTCCCATGGTGAGCACTCATAACCTGAAGAAGCACAATATATATAACACAGTTCTTATGTGCGTATTAATAAAGTCCTCTAACTTTAAAAATATTTTCCTAATTATAACATCAACATATACATATTATAAAAATTAAAATGCTGTAGAAAAATATAAGTGGAATATAAAAGTTCCCTATAATCCCAACTTGAGACAGCACATTGTTAACTATTTGATCTTTAGTTTCATGAACCATTTTTAAACTACATTTGCTAAAATCCTTTCTCTTGGTCTAATTTACTTAAGGTGCTGGGTCTTTGTTTTCATACTGTTCTGTATGATTTTGATAGAGTGTCTCAGTATCACTTAATCTAAAGTGTTCTTGAAAGGAAAGTTTTATATTTGAGTGATTCATGAAATTACTTGGTAAAATTATATTGAAATCACAAATACTCAGAAAAAGAGAGAAGGAGGTGATTTATTGAAGAAACATTTGAACTTTAATAGCATGTCTTTTATTATTTTCATCAGGTATGAAGATGATGGTTAGCATTTACATCCTACTTGGTTTAAAAACATAAGTTTTATGGGACCCAGATTTACAATGTTTGTTTTATTCCTGTGATTCATTTGAAATGTATGTTTATTTGTTTAGAATCATTTCATTCTTTTGGACATCAATCTAATTTTAAGAATTATTTTCAGACCATTAAAAATATCTACTGAAGACTTTGGCAAACTCTGGTTATCCTTTGCCAATGATGTGAAGCAAAATGTGAAAATATCAGCATCTCAAGCTGCCCTGCCTGCTGCCCTAAAGACACTGCAGCAGAACCTGAGACTTCACGTTGTTGACATCATAGGTGTGTAGAGTTATGAAAAGGCTATCCTGTGTTTACAGAGGCTTTCCCACAGTCAGAACACAAGTTGTCAGATTTCCAGGTGTCAGATTTCTTAGAGCTGTATTCCCTATTATTAGTGTCTTTTAGATTAGTGTGTTCAGATTTTATTGAAGAATTGTTTTTGTAAAATGTACATAACAAAATTTACCATTTTAAACCCTTTTACTCGTACAGTTTAGTGGCATTAAGTAGATTCATCTTGTTGTGCAGCATTGCCACCATCATCTCCTGAATTTTTCTTCTTCCCTAACCGAAACTTTACCTGTTAAACATTAACTCGCCATTTCCTTTCCTTTTCTAGCCCCTGATACCCACCATCCCATTTTTATCTCTATGAATTAGACTACATTAGGTACCTCATGTAAGTGGTTTCATAACAATATTTGCCCTTTTGTGACTGGCTTATTTCACATAGCATCATGTCTTCTAGGTTCACCCATGTTGCAGCACGTGTCAAAATTTCCTAATGAATACTATTTCATTGTATGAACATACCACATTATGTTTATCAGTTCATCTGTTGATGGACACTTGGGTTACTTCCACTTTTTGGCTATTGTGAATAATACCACTGTCAATATGGATGTACAGATAATCTGTGTTCAAGTTCCTGCTTTCAGTTCTTTAGGTTATATGTCCAGAGTTGCTGGATCATATGGTAATTCTATACTTAATTTTTGGAGAACTTGTCATATTGTTTATCACAGCAAGTGCACCATATACCTCCTCACCAGCAATGTATGGGGTTAAATTTCTCCACATCTCCCTAACACTTGTTACTTATTTATTTTGATAATTGGCATCCTCATGGATGTGAAGTATTTTGTTGTTTTGATTTGCACTTCATTACTGAGCAGTGATGTTGAATATCTTTTCATGTCTTTATTGGGCATTTGTATATCTTTCGTAGAAATGTCTGTTGAAGTTGTTTTGATTAAAGAATTTTTATTTTTGTTGTTTTGTAGGCAATGAAGGGCTGTTGGCCTGTCAGCTGCTCCCATCCATCCCCTGTTTGCTGCATTTCCGAGTTCATGGTGACGTATTGGCCCTGTGGTTCAGATCCTCCTGCTCTAGTCTTCCTGACTATTTACTGTATCAGTGTCAAAAGGTGATGGAGGGATCCTAGCAGAAGCTCTTACTCCATCAAAATAAATGGTTTACATAGATAAACTTATTTACCAAAGTAAAAAGAACTCATGGTACTTCTAATGAAAATGGGGATAATTATGAGTTGTGGTTTTATGTGTTATCTTTATGATTCTTGATCAAGGTCCCCGAGAAACTGTATCCCTAACCTTTTACTCAGGATTGTACAGTATGCTTGGGTCCCAAAGAGTGACCCAAGCTAATGTTATAAACTGCTAATGATTTATATATCACTTAGTGTAGAGAGACTGAAAATATTTATTTTGTTATAAGTAATTTTATAGCAAATATACTGTAGTGCTAGCTGATTTGTAGTAAAGCCAAGTCTGAGTTCTCTGTATTAATGGAGGGGAGACATGGAATTGATAACCCCAGACCTAATTCGTATTTGGCTTTGGAATGCAGTGTATGCTTTTTGGTAGGCAAGTCATTACTTTTAATTATGTTGTGCTTAGATCAGTGTTGAACTAAGTTGACACTGCGCACGCTTAGTTCCAGAGATCCATGAGCATGCTGGATTTTGGGGGATCCAATCTGTAATACAGTTTTTATTATAAATAACTTGTTATACATAATTGCAGATAATTTGGCTACAAAATTTGTTTTCCATTAGCATTTATTTTTAAAATGAAAAGTGAATCACTGTATTCTTAAGTTAAAAACTGAAAGTCATTTACAAAATAATATCACATAGATACAAAACCCACAAGAACACACAGTACTAAAGCAATCATATAAAAGGACTTTTTAGTTATGGCAAATATGTCAATCAGTTACCACTTTGGTTCTTTTAGCAAGTTAAAATTTGTGATTATAGTATAAATGGCAAAACAATTTTTCCTGGCCTTTAAATCCACTAGTACTCAGAGGATGCAACCAAAACAATGAGTCAGTATACCATACAGGCTCTTCAATAAAACATATCATTCTCATATTATAGTTGTGCCTACGTGCCTCTGTCAGAACTATTATCGGCCTAATGTGAATGATGGACCCGAATCTTGGATTGTACATTAATGTTAAAAACTGAAATTGTGTTTTATAAAACCTTATGGTGCTGTGGAAACATTGACTATTTTACTTTTTATGACACTTCACCATGGAGATTATTCAGATAATATAGATTTAAGTCATTGCGCTTAATACTCTGGTTAATTGATACTGTTTATCACCCAGGTGTGGAATTCTGGCTTTAGGTTATCTCAGGAATCATACCGGATGTGAAACATGCTAAGGGGATTCCCGAGAGCTGATAGATTTCATTAGTCATTTCTGTTTAGTGTATTCCTTCCTAAAAAGCAGAATTCTTTTTTAAAATTGATTTTTAAGTTACTCATTTTAAAAATGTACCTTGTTATTTTCATGCTTTTAAAAACACAGTAAAACCTTGTTGTAAAAGCAATGAAAAGTGACTGGAATTTCCTGTGTAGGTCTCCCCTTTTAAATAGAAGGTGAGATTCATCTTCAAGCTCCCCACAGGGGCAGGGTAAAGGGAATGTGCTGTCTCTGCAGGTGTGGTGGACACTCACTGGTGGCAAGACTCATCAGCTTCCTCTTTATTCCTACCTCTGTCAGCAGCACCCCCACCCGCTTCTGCTGTTACTCTGACAAAGAGATAGGAAGTGCCCTCTCACTTTGCAGCGTGTAGCAGAAGAGGTGCCCCCAATTTTTTGTCCCTACTTCCATGTGTTTGCATGGTTACTGAGACTGGGTTGGGTGTAGAGCAGTGGATATAAGGAGCCCAGCAAGCTTTGGACAGCTTATCTGGGAGAGATTACACTGAGCTGCTGCTTTGTTACCAGGGCATTCAGGAGTGGCTGCAGCAGTTGTCATGAGAGATATGCTTGACCTGTAGGGTTGTCAAATGGCGGGAGATGTGTAATGGTAGGTTTGGGCTAGGAACATGATTTTGGGTCTTCCAGAGGGAACATGGTATCACCTCTGTTCTTTCTGAAGCCACAAAAAGTAGGGTTACAGAATTTCTACTGAAATGTTCAGTAGAATGTTTACAATTTTTTATATTTTTATGGTTTTAAAAACAACAGTAGGAAAGAATTTCACAGCAGTATATATTTTGCCTAAACTAATGAACATTTTAAGTTCTAAATCAGACATCACCAACTTCTTTTGCATCGTAGGAGACTTGACTATAAACTAGGCAGATGGTTACTGTTGGTAGGTCACCTTCTTACATTATAGTCAAAACTTTGTCAAGTGAAGGGACATCATCGGGAATAAAAGCCGGGGGGTGGGGTTACTCAGCTTTGCGAGTTCTATGCCAGGCATCTTTGCTGAGAACTCAGGTGGCAGCAAGTGTGAATCTGGAGAGAATAAAGGGAAGAGAGCAAAGTCTGAAGAGCAGATGGAAGCAGAACAATCAGGCTCCCACCAGAGTAGTCCCTGTGGAGGCAGGCTCAGGGGAAAGTGGGCCCAAGTAAGGGTCCTTCTAAAGCGCTGGAGATGGAAGCTCAGCAGTTACCAAGTGCTATATGCCAACCATGCCAGCCACAGCAAAGGCTCTGCAGAGGAGCATTATTTTAAACAATATTCTTCTGTCATCTGTCAAAACAGTTGTGGTAAAAATGCAGTATTTTATTTTTTCTTTATTTCATGTCAATAATATTTTTAAGTATTGAGCTATTTGTCTTAATTTTTATGGATAAATGTCTTTGTCTCAAAATTGTGAGCCACTAAAAGTGCACTGAACCTATTCACATGTCTTTAAGGTGTTTTGCTGTGTTAAAATTTTAGGAGGGGAAAATGCAAATTAATAACAACAAGCATTAATTATTTTGAAGTTGAATTCTGTAATTTGAAGTAATTCAGTTAAATATGTAATAAATGCAAAGTGATCTATACTGTTCTTTGGTCTTTATATTCTTTATTATCTAAATAGCTGAATAATAAGTAGTACTACTCAGTAACTTGATAAGCATTAGCTAAAAAGAGCAAAAAAACAGCCCAGGCTGGTGTAGCTCAGTGGATTGAGTGTGGGCTACGAACCAAAGGGTCACTGGTTTGATTCCCAGTCAGGGCAAATGCCTGGATTGTGGGCCAGGTCCCCAGTATGGGGTGCGTGAGAGGCAACCACACATTGATATTTCTCTCTTTCTCTTCCCCTCTCTCTAAAAATGAATAAATAAAATATTTTAAAAAGAGAGCAAAAACAATTGGAATGGGATGAAAAGAGTAATTTATTCAGTAAGGCCCATAAGAATCTGGTCTAATTGGTTATTAAAAATAAAGAACTGCTGTTTTTATATTAGGTTCTGAGGGAACTCTGTGGGCTTCAGATGGTTCAGAGTGTGGATTGATTCTCAGGTGCCTGTCCATGTCCCCTGCTTTCATTCTAGCCTGACCAGAGCATTCCAGAGTTCTGTTTCTGTATTTTTTTTTAATTACAGTTTATTGATTATGCTATTACAAGTTGGCCTGATTCTTCTTTCCCCCTTTGGCCCCCTCCACCCAGCACCCCCACTCCCTCAGGCATTCCCTCCATCATTGTTCATGCCCATGGGTCATACATGTATGTTTTTTGGCTACTCCATTTCCTATGCTGTACTTTACATCCCCATGGCTATTCTGTAACTACCTGTTTGTACTTCTTAATCCCCTCACCTCTTCACCCATGTTTCCCCTCCCCCCTCATCTGATGACCATCAAAGTGCTCTCCATATCCATGTAGCAGTAGAGCTGCTATGACCCCATCTTAGTAGTGTGGGCTAATATAGTGGGTGTCCTGTAGGGTTCAGTAGCCCAGCCTCCCCGTCACTCAGGCTGGTTACTTGAGGTGCACCCTTCGTGTGTGCTGAATACCCCCTCCTCTTGTAGTTGAGCCTTGGTTGCTGTTGGCAGATCAATGGGAGGGATTTACACAGGCCAGTCAGCTGCAAGGTTTGGCTGTGACCATTTATTACCAAACTCTACCCTCCATGGAGGATCAAATGTGCAGGGGCAGGATGGTGGTGCCCCAACATGGTCTTTAGCTGCCCACTGGGTGCTCTGGCTCTGGTGTTTCCCAGGTAGTGCAGGTCAAGCTCAGCTCCCACTAGTGTTTTGCTCAAAGTCACACTGCCTGAGTTATAAAGCAATCTGAGATGGCTGCTACTTGTGCTGGGCTTGGAGATTCCCAGGTGCATCCAAGCTGTGAATCTAAGCTGGCTGCTGCTAGTGCTGGGCCTGGGACTCACTGAGGCCAGGTATTGGCTGTTGGAGAGGATTTAGGAAGTTGTGCTGCAGGAGCCAAGACCAGCCATTCATATGGAAAAGCAGCTTGGCTAGGCCTGTAAGTTGGTGGGACTGAACCTCTGGGGATCTCCGAGGTGAGCCAGTGTTAACCAGGTTGATGGAGTCTCAGATATGGTACCAGCTTCCGGCTTAGTTTGGATGGATGTGGTTTCTTTAATCTGTAGCTGTCAGACTTCCATTCAGCTCAATTTTTTATGGTAATTTTGATGTGGTTGTGCAAAGAGGTGAGCCATGCCTGCCTACGCTGCCATCTTAACCAGAATGCTCCATAGTTCTGTTTCTTTAATGCCCTCTCCTTACAGCTGCCTTGAGATGGAAGAAACACAGTAAGTCAGGTGGAGACTTAGTGACCAAACACTCTGAATCTCCTGGCCATCTCTGCGTTGTATATCCTAAAACACAAATCTAGGTCAGAAATGGCATTTTTCAGCTTACTGTGTATGCCTCCTATGGGCTATAAAGTGTAGCAGGAAAAGAGTGCTGAGACTTGAAGCTTCATCTTTGGAGCACTGGTGGTTTAAATGCATCAAACCCACTGCAGTACTTGAAAAGAAAGGGGTTCTTAAAAGGAGGAGTGGCCTGCAGCCAAATGGACCAGGGTTAGCAATTGAATGAAAGTTACTTATGTGTGTGCATATTGAGAGACTGTGAGCTTTCTATGGTTAGGAACCATCTGTATATGTTCATGTCTCTTTTGCCTGGTACATAACAGGCACTCAATAATAGGCGATTGGTTTATTGGACAAAGGACTAAAGAGATCTGTCCCCTTAAAATGAGTTATCCAAAACCAAGTAATATCTAGGTATTGATTTTAGTAATACTGTAGCTCTCTCAGGAATAAAGTGGTCTGATCTGGCTGACAGATATAAGTCAGTGGAACAAGGTTCCAGTGAATATAGTTTGTGCCAATTTGGAGAAAGGAAACATGATTGCCTGATGAGACCTGTAGCACTCTGAAGGCTGAGACCTGCCATTTAAGAGATCTCTCTTCAGATATAATGTGATTATGGATAGAAATTATGACTTGGAGGAGGGGGGCTTTGCTGAATTATGGCAAATGTCCATGAAGTTTTACTGATCTGGAAAAACTTGTGCTAGGACAGAAAGCAGTAGGTAGTTGGTGCGTGAAGTTCAAGTTAAAAATAGGGAGCTAATGGATATGGCAAGGCAGATTTACCAGCTAAATTAGTGTCACCTCTTTGTTTAGAAAAGTCAGCTCGATGATAATGGGAGAGACAACTATATTGACATTAGTAAAGTCAATAGTGTCAGGAAAGTAGGGAAGGAACAGGCCCTCTGGGATAAAGCATCAGGAAAAGGAGTTACTTAAAGGAAATGTGTTTCGTTTGTGTCACGTGGGAAACTTTATGGTAGATGTATGAATCCAAGACAGGAGGGCACCTAAGAAATGAGTCCCAAAGAACCCTGAGAACTTGAGGATGGTCCTGGATGTGGGGAAAGTACAGATGGTGTCAAACATCGTGAGTCGCCGGGAGTACCTGTAATGCTGAAAAAACAGTGGATCCTTGTAAGTGGTTGCAGCTCGACTGTGGGCTTTGTTCCAGGGGAAGGAATCAATTTACTTTAGTTATTTTAAACTATTTTTCTAAGTGGATCAGTACTTTTCCTTTCCAAAATGTTAAATTGCCAATGTAACTAAATGGCTGACCTCAGGAAGTTTCTCCCTAATGGGGTCCGGCAGGATATGGGCCAAATGGATAGAGACTGGAGCCCAGAGATTATTCGTATTTCAGTGAGAAAAAAGCAATTAGAAATCTATTTAATTGTACATCTCCTCAACCCCCTTGTATTATGTGACAAGTAGGAACAGAGGCAAGATATTCTTAGGAGAGACATTTGGTCTAAATAGTTAGCATGTACTCTAATGAAGGTGAGGGCAAAACCAGTGTTTAGAACAAGCTGGTCCCCACTGATGGTAGATATCAGGGCATAAGAATTGATTTTTTGTAGGTGGAACCTAACCAACAAAACAAGCGAGCAAAATATAACCAGAGACACTGAAACAGAGAACAAACTGACAGTAACCAGAGGACGGGGGGTTGGGGATAATGGGGGGAAGGCGGAAAGGTCGTCAAGGAACATGTATACAGGACACGTGGACAAAGCCAAAGGGGGCTTGAGTGTGGGAGGTGGGCATGGGTGGGGCGGGGGGGAGTTGTGAGGGAAAAATGGAGACAACTGTACTTGAACAACAGTTAATAAAAAAATTTTTTAATTGATTTTTTTTCATCCTAGTTAACTGAGTAAACATTGATGGGGTAAAATAGAAGCATTATTGTGAACTATGGGAAAGATGAAATTATTTGAGCCCATACATTGGATCAGTCTTCATCTACAGAAGTGATAAGAGTATCTTTTGTTACTCATAAGGAGCCTTTTTGAGCACACCTGAGCTTATGCTAACGAGGTGACAAGGTGAGGCCTCTACCTAGCCTCAGAATGAGGTTGGTCACCAGAAGGACCAAGTGACTAGGGAGTTGGAACTTTCAGACCCAGCCACTGATGCAAGAAAGGGGAAGGTTTGAGGCTGGAGAGTTAAGTTCTATAAAAATCCTGAACAGTGGGATTCGATGAGCTGCCATGTCGATGGAGGCATCTACATCCTAGGAGGGGGGTGCATCCCAGTTCCATGGGGACAGAAGTTCCTGCACTCAGGACCCTTCTGTTTCTCACCTCATGTACCTCTTCATCTGGCTGTTCATCTGTAATGTTTATAATATCCTTTATAACAGACTGGTAAACGTAAGTAAATGTTTCCCGGAATTCTGCAGGCCACTCTAGCAAATTAATTGAACCTGAAAAGGGGGTTGTGGGACCTTCCAATTTACAGCCAGCTGGTCAGAAGCACAGGTGACAGCCTGGACTTGGAATTGGCATGTGAAGTGGGAGTAGTCACTGAGCCATCTGAAGTGGGACTGAGCCTTTAACTTGTAAGAGCAACGCTGTCTCCAGGTAGATGGTGTAAGAATTGAGTTTATTCGTAGGATACCTAGTGTAGTATGTCTGCTCAGAGAACTAGAGAATTACTTCATGGTATGGAAAAAAAGCATCAGTTAACAAATAAATATTGTTTATATTTAGGTTGTAATATACATATTGTAAAATGACTACCACAGTCAAGTTAATTAACACATCCATCACTCCATAGTTACTTTTTGTATGTGCCGTGAGAACACGCAGATCTTAGCAGATTTTAAGTATATAATATGGTATTACTAACTATAATCACCATGCCGTTCATTAGACTGGGGACCTTTTCAAAATCCCGTACTTAAACTATTAAATCAGAGTCTGTGAGGGGTGGGACCCAGGCTTCAGTAGTTTTTAAACTCCACAGGTAATTGCAATGCATAACCAAGTTTGGGAACTGCTGGTTAAGATGTTTTCTCACCCTGCCGTTTCTCAGTGGGGTTATTTGTGATTGTGTTTTTTCCATACCCTTTCCTGCAATTGAAACTGATTAAAAGTAATTCACTCTTGATTGTTTGGGAGGCTAAGTAATGGCATTTTTGGAAAAATCGGGCAGGTCTCGGGGAGGAACCTTACGTGAGTGCATAAAAAGTTGTAGGTCCTGGGTGTAGGTGGTGG